AAATGTTGCCATAGTTATTAAAAAGCCTTTAGAATGGAAACCTACCAAATCCCTATATTCCGTCACTGTGTGTGGCAATATTTGACACGTTGTGAGTCGTATTGCATCAGCGCTTCAAATTTAACTGATACATAATGCCGACATCCACGTGTTCGAATTCCGTTCGCTGTGTGAGCTGTATTGGGATGCAACACGGCTTTGAATTAGAACACTAACGAATATTGAACACTACTTGATTACGTTTTAATTAACAGCTATTAGGCTTTTAATTAAGCAAATTTCAATTTTTGTACAAAGCTTGGAACGATCTGTGTGTGTCCAATTCAAGTTGTGTCGGAATTAGTTTTCATGTGTCTAAATCCATTTCTCAACTTAATCATCTATTAATTTATTTACGACTTGAAATCAGCAAATACAAGTATACTTAACTTGAAGGATTCCTAATATATTCACAGACGTATTTAAAAGTCTCAAACCATAATATTCTTCCTATAAAAACAGTTATTCACTATTTTGTAGAGCAAGGTCAACTGTCAAATTTGACACATTTTTCGATGATCTCACCAGGTGGCATGCATTGTCTCTCTTTGGATCTCAATATTTTCCCACTAGATGGCCAAGACCTAGTATTTTGGCAGTATTTTGATGTGTAAATGTATGACATCACCATTTCAACCATCAACAAACGCATGGAACTAAAACAAAGCTTAATATAAAGGAAAAGCTGGAGAGGTGACGGAATTACCCACGATGTCGGAATATACCGCGTTTACCCTAGTGAATAACTGTTTGTATAGGAAGAATATTATGGTTTGAGAAAATTGAGACTTTTAAATACGTCTGTGAATATATTAGGAATGACGAATCCTTTAAGTATACCATAAAATGGGGTTACTTTGACCGGCAGGGTAACTTTGAACACTTCTCATTTTTTTAACAAAAACCCCCAAAACTCAAAAACGATTCGACATAGAAAAATTTTGTCAATGGCCATCAAAGGCCTAATACTGAGGCTATGTAACACAATAGAAAGATTTAAAAAGTTTGCATATCTAATAGGTTGAAAAATTAAAAATGTGACCCACAAAAAAGAGCTATTATTTCAAATTTTAGAAAAGTGTCATAGTTTGCAAATGGGGGGCACCACCCCCCAATGGGGTAACTTTGACCACCTAATGGCAGCCGTGACGGGGTAACATTGACCGGCTTGGAAATTAAGTTGAAATTACCATAGGTACCTATATAATATATTTTATGTTTGATACACCTATTAATGTTTTTCTGTTTTATGTTTTTATGTTATGTTTCAGACTCTACAGAGTCTTATATATGGTAATTTTAACTTAATTTCCAAACCGTGTTTCAGACTCTACAGAGTCTTATATATGGTAATTTTAACTTAATTTCCAAACCGGTCAATGTTACCCCGTGACGGCTACCATTAGGTGGTCACATTTCGCCCATTGGGGGGCGGCACCCCCCATTTGCAAACTATGACACTTTCCTAAAATTGGTCTTTTGCATATGTAACTAAAAGAGTTTTACTACAATGCACCACAACCTGGAGTTATTTTACCAAAAATAAAATTGATTTTACCACCCGGTCAAAGAAACCCCAAGAGCTGGGGTAACAAAGACCTTCACTTTTTACAACACTTCTCTTTAACTTCACTTCTTGTCTGTCTGTCTGTTTGCTACAAATCTTGTAATCAAAATTTAATACACTTCTACTTATCCTATCGATCTGAAATTTTGCACACTCGTGTAAAGTTGGAGACAATGCATGAATCAAATGTCAAAATAAAAAATTTTAAAAATTAAAAAAAATTATTTTTTTTTTCAATATTAAAATTGAAAAAATAATTTTGCCAGCTGCAAATCTTATAACTGATATTTGACACACTTTTACCTGTCTGATTGATCTGAAATTTTGCACACTTGTGTTAAGTCAGAGGCAATGCATGAATCAATTAACAGAATAAATAATTTGGAAAAAAATTATATATCAAAGAAATTTATATATAATAAAAAAATTTAAAGATAAATTTTTTAATTTTCGAAATTAGATGAGAAATTCATTGAACATCTGTAAGATTGGAGATACTGGATTCTTTGGAAGTGTTGTCTTTAAAAAGTAATTTTTAAACGTATATTATTTCAAATAGAATCCAAACTATAACAAAATTACAAAAAGCTAAGACTAATCTATAGATCTTTTCTTTGTAAATAAAATGGTGTATCTCTCATTGCTGTAGCTTAAAAACTATAGGAGATAGGTTTGCTGTGACAATAAGCGCAAATGTTCAGGAGAGCACGAAAAAGCCCAGAGTGCCCGGGGCATGCTATACATAGGCATTTATGGTGGCAAGGATGCCAGGCAAGGCATTACTTGAGCTCAAATTCACTCACAGATGCAGAGAACAACTGCAAGAACACCTTTCTGCATGACAGCTGGTGGGTGACCAAAGTGCAGCATCAACAGACCTTGCTCTTTGTGCCTGGCTGGTAATTTCTCCCATAAGAAAATGTGAAAGAGCTCCACAACACCTAGAACTAACATGCCATCTACAATCTGGAGGACCCATGAACCACATGCGGGAAGCCCACAATGAGACCATCACCCGAGCGACATTGGAGGCCTGCACCAGCATAGTTATGCAGTGCCCTGACCCATCAAGACTGGTGATAGCTGAGGCCCTCATTATCAAGAGCAAGTCTCCAGCTATCAACCTCCAAACTACAGGATTTGTCCAGATGCTGAAATGATTTTCAGAGTAATTTTTAGATTATATTTTAAGTTGTATCCACTATACCATTGATTTGTACTTCTGTCATTTCCAAAGTTCAAATTCACATGTTGCAAAACCTTCACCTGCTTGATAAAAAAATATATTTTTGAAATGTCGCATTCTATTAAAATGTCTTTTAATAACCTGCTGTTTGATCTCCTGGCGCCAGCTAGAAATTTAGTTGGAGTCATTGAAAAGATGTATAAGAAGATTATTAATAAGAAGCATGCTCTGGTCTTCAATCAAACTTGCATAAAAAAAGCTTCTGCAGAACTATACCAAATTTACATACATATATGTATATATCTACTGCCAAATTAGCTCCAAACTGACATATTATTAATATATTTGGTATCTCCTGGCTATAAAGGTGCTCATGCACTTATTGACAATTAGTTTGGGGATTATTCATCTGCCATCACTAACACATGAGTCACTATTCACTCAGCAGCCTTGCTCAAAAAAACTAAATTACTGGATTACTGGTCATAGTCACAATTTTTAGTTTATATCCTGAATTATTAATGACCAAAATGCTCATTTTAGTCATGCTAAAAAGTTGTGGGCTTGTGGCTCAGGTCTGGTGAATGTGGTGGCCAAATGAGATGCTCAAGTTCATTAGAATGTTCCTTGTGCCATTTTTTAACAATTTCAGCATTATGGATTGGGACATTATCATCTTGAAAATTGGCATTCATTCACTCTGGAAACAGTACTTGAACCATTGGATGAACTTGGTCATCCACAATTCCTAAATAGTTATGGCTATTGATTCTTCTGTGAAGAGAAATCATTGGTCTGTCAGATTTCCAAGAAATAGCACCCCAGATCATCACAGATACCCTGTCATTTTTTACAGTTGGAAGGAGGCAGTCAGGATTAAATGACTCTTTTGGACTTCAACAATAGACTTGGCCAGAGGTTGGAAATAAGGTAGACGATCATTCGTCAGAGAAAATCACATTTCTTCACTGCTCATGGACCAATTCTAGAGAGTTTTATACTACCCTAAGCACTTTAAAGCATTTGTATTTGAAACCAGCAGTTTTCTAATTGCAGCTTTTCCATAGAATGCAGATCTGTGCAGCTCTTGGACTTTATTGAAACTGGGTTCAGTAGGTGTCCATTGAGGTCTGCAGTAATTTTAACAGATGTGGTCTTTCTATTGTCTCTCACAATTTCATTTAGGTACTGACAGTCTCTCAGACAACTTTGACTCTTGACCAGACTGGTGATTTACTGAGGACATTTTTTCTTCTCTTTCAAAAGCAGTCATTACGTTTGAGACAGTACCTCTAGAAATGTCAAGCATTTTGGGAAGTGATATACAGGTACCAACAATTTGGCCTCTCTTGAAGTCTGAGAGGTTTGCCAAATACGGTACATAGGTTACAGGTTAAGTTATAGGCATAACAATTTGCTAAAAATATCTATGCAAGAATAATATATCAACTAGCAGCAACAACAGGGAATAAAACATGAAAATATGTCATGTTTTTAATGTTCATAATATGTTCAAAAATTATTGTTGTAGGACTCTATTTATCGTGCTACCAGCCACGTTTTGGGCCTGAGGGTGTTTGTTGCGAGGGTGTCAAGAAAACAAGGAATTGGTGATGGTCTCCACCTCCCCTACAACCATCCCAAACCACCTTTTTATTAGACTTTTCCTTGTGTTTATTTAACAATTTATTGAACAACACAACAAGAAGAACCAGGTATATACAGTGAACAGAGAAGAGAAAGAATAAGCGCAAAACCGAGGCACGGGGGTCTATAACCTTGTATAATGGTATTTTCAAGTTTGCCTGCTTTACCCAGTCTGAAAAGCAAAAACAGATTAACATGATAAACCTAAGGAGTGCACTAAATCCACAAAAATATCCTTTACATTAACTTTAACATGATTAAGTTAGTGATGCATAGCAAATAGTGAGCACTCTACTATGATGTCAACACTGAAATTGATACATACTTTTGCTTTAATTTCGTACCTTAATTTCACATTACATTGCATCTCAGGAGAGGGGGGTGTGCAGGACCCCTAGTAGGGAAATCCTACTTCCTTGCAGTATCACTGAAATGGGCTTCCCACAACATTATGATATAAAAATGTTGGATGCTTCCCTTATTTTGTCCAACCTCTACATATATACTTATTTTTCAGGATCCCTAATTAAATTGCTGCTAGACTTGTCATTGTGTAATTATATACCTTTTTATTTTTTTTTTTTTTGGTTTTAGCATGCAAAGTGTTTTTCCCCATACCCATTATCATTCTTTTTATTTCAGTATAAACGGTTGACCAGACGGCAGCCCAAGTGAGATGGACGCACCATTAGGTATGACTTATTAGCATTTTGCACTTCATTTTTTAACTTCAATAGAATTCTATAAATCCTTCTTTTCTGGCCTGTTTACCTCTATGATTCTAAAATTCAACAATTGTTGTGTCAAGCAGCCACTGGAGAATAATTAATATTTATGTTTTATGTTATTTCTATAAAAGTTATCTCAAAGAATTCTGAGAAAATTTTAATTTTATCTTGGAGTAGTCTTTAAAAATGGTATGAACTTGATTCTATATTTAGTAATTATGTATAAGTATTTGATTTGCTGATAATGGTGGCATTGAATTTTTTTTTTCAGGGATCTTGGTGGATTCTGTTGATCATCCCTGCTGGGTGATTCCCAATTAATATTTCTATGAAGATCAATTCCTTCCAATTTATTTTGTGATGATTGTGAAAAATCAACTTTAAGTGGTATTTCTTCAGGAAGATGGAAAGAGCAAGCAGTTATGATATTAATTTAAATGAAAGTAGCTGTAGAAAATCTTCAGAGATGTTACATATTGATGAAGTCGTGAAGATCAGTGAAAATGAAGATACTTGCAACACTGATGATACAAGTACTGAAATTATTGGGAAAAAACTCAACACTGGAAATGATGATTTTACTAGTGTAACATTTAACTTTAACATGTCAGCTGATAAAATTGGAGGCCATTCTTTTTTGGAATCAAAATTTTCAAATAAATCTGATAAACTTACCATCAACGAGGGATTGAAAAATTCCAGTGCAGTGCCTACTTCAGACAACCCAAAAAACCATTTACCCAACCCAGCACCTTTCTCTCACAGGTCTGAAAGTCATTCATGCATTCGATCTATGGCCTCAAATTCACCATCTCTAGATTCCCACTCAAGTTCAACTATTAATCAGCACTCTATATGTGGGGATAGTAAAATTTTGAATGGTTGCAATTTCTTGGCATGCATGTCAGAAGAGCAAGAAATTGAGGTTCATATTACCGGAATTGAGGATCGCGTTTTGCCGAGTGAAGATCAAAAATGTGATCAGATCCGCACCCTGTCTTTAGATGATATGGTTATTAATAATGGTTTGGCTGTGGATGTAGATTCAAGCATTATTAATTGTAGACAAAATACACCAATGGCTGTTTCATGCTCAGATTTAGTGTCAACAAATTGTACAGATTCCACTTCCAAAGACTTAGTTGCTGATCAATTTAAACCAAGCTTCATTCTCTCTAATGATGTTGAAGAAAAATCTCCATGGTTTGCTCAAAAGTTATATGGTTCAAACACAATGAAAGATTGTGTGAACTCTAGTGGAAAAATTGTCTCCAAAGTAACTCCTTTAGATTTTCACGTTTCCTCTAATTTCTGCACTTGTGATCAGTGCTCTTCACAAGGGCTACAAAGGACAAATTTGATTAGTGAAGCTTCTTGCAAAATGAGACTCTCTGATATTTCCTTCTTTACTGAAGCCTCTGAAACCATTACCAAGCAATCCATTAATAGTGAGCCTAGTGTACGTGATAAAAAGTTTGTTGTCAAGGCTGGAACATCTATCAGCAGGAATGGAGATGAGAAGAATAGTCCAAATAAGAGCATGAAGTCTTGTGGTGTCGAATGTCATGTTGAAATAATAGATAGTCCCGAAAGTTACCAGTCTAGTTTACATTTTTCTGAACATAATCCTACGAGCAAAAGTTCTTTCCTACAAAACCATTATTGTCAATCAGTTGATGGATTGGGCAAGATTTATGGGAGATGTTGTAAAGGCCGCAAGAGTGAATCATTTAATTCTACTGAGGCCAAGGCTTATATCCCTGAAAATGTTATTGATCTTTCTGCTTTTCAAACGGTGGATTTATTAAATGCCAATAAAGGTGTTTCGACGGAAAAGGATTCACTCAGGCTGATAGACGATTGCAAATGCTTGGAAATGCAATCGCGTCATTCAACTCCTGACCATGATGCGGTCAGCGAGGATCCTTCTATCAAGTATCTCTTCAAGCATCAAACGTCTTCTGCCAGTCAAAAGATTCATGGAGCCACCAATCATGTGTGCTGTGATGCGTCTTCGCCTAAAGTGAGGCCGAATATTGATCATAATTCGAACTGTGATGCTGACGAGCGAGCTCTGGATGTTGCTTCGACACAACATTGCTATCATTATCACAACATGACTCGTCCTGCTGAAAACATTCTATCTAGTTCCTTGAACTTCAACACTCGGTCAAACCTGCAGTGCAGTGATAGGTACTGTCAGTCACACACGGGCTGGCCTTTATCGAGGGTTGATGGTTCCAGGTTCAACTTCAATGACGACTGCAAGGCGTCTGCTTCCACCTTGAATAATTTGAGTGCATATCTGCCTCGGACGTCAAATGTTGGTGTAAAATCATCTAGAGGTTTTGGTGAGAATTTTGGTGGTATTGATTCCGACACTGCAAGTGTCTGTAGTCATGTGTGCCGTTCGTGTGGAACTCAGTTAATGAATACATTATCTGATCTAAATTCAAAGCCTCGCAATGATCTTTCTATCCCAGAAGTTCCAAGTGAAGAAAGTAATGATGATTGCTCGATCATGAAAGGAGTTCAAAAAGAGACCATCTTGTCGACGCTCAGTCTCTCAACCTCATCCGGCAATCATTCTTTGAAGTCTGCCATTCAGAAGTTCGTGTGCAAGAAAATGAAATATCCTACTAAGGAATTGTCAGGCATTTCTTTAAGGAAAAGTAAGCATTCAGCGTCATTCCTGCGCATGTGTGCAACTCTGGCTAATAGGGCCGGCATAACCCGTCCTGCACTGCCGGCAAGCTTGTCAAGTGATGGCATTACAACACCTTGCTCGACAAGCGCCAACTTTGATCTAGGTCCCTTGAATCTGACTCCAATTAATTCAAACTTCTCTTCTAATGGTGAACGTTCATCTTGCAGTGTAGATCAGAGGCAAAAGTCTACCCTGACACACCGTTACCAAAAAGCCACATCTGAATCTTCGTTTCAAATATTTTTAGGTCAAAATGCTCTCTTGAAGGATAGCGCTGAGTGCATCGCCAGCAAATCTACCGATTCCGGTGCTGTAACTCGTGAATCTTGTTCAACAAGAGGCACTATGCCTCGACCATGGACTTGCAGTAATGTGGCTGAAAGGAAAGCAATTGAAAAGTCCCTGCAGTCTGAGTCCTCTTTACTCTCCCATTTGCATGATAGTCGTCTGCGGAAGCATCAGGAAATTGAAGAACTTGAAGCAGTTCAAACGGTTCACACCCAGATCGACTACATCCATTGTCTTGTACCTGATCTTCTTACTATTACTGGATGTAGCTTTTATTGGGGGAAAATGGATCGTTACGAAGCAGAAACTTTACTGGAAAACCGCCCTGAAGGCACTTTTCTCTTGCGAGACTCCGCCCAAACTGACTACTTGTTTTCAGTGTCATTTCGACGGTATGGGAAGTCTCTCCATGCCCGCATTGAACAGGGCAGTCACAAGTTCAGCTTCGACTCCCATGATCCCGACGTGTTTGCATCGGATACAGTGTGTGGTCTAATTCAGCATTACAAAGATCCTTCTTGCTGCATGTTTTTCGAGCCCATGCTCACGGTGCCTCTTTCTCGAACCTTCCCGTTCCCTCTACAGCATTTGTGCCGTGCGACCATTTGTTCCGCTACAACGTACGATGGTATCAATAAGCTCAGACTGCCTAAATTCCTTCGTAATTACCTAAGAGAATATCACTACAAACAGTTGGTGAGGATCCGTCGTTTTGATCACTAGATCGCGCTTTCGATGCCCGCTTCCTCATGTTTTCGTTATGCTAAACCACTCCTGACTCACGGCATTCACTTGCTGAAATATTCGTGCTTTATTTTCGTTTTTTAACATCCATTACCATTATACCAGTTATATATATATTGTTTGTTTTGTTTGCTATGAAATTCATTTTAAGCGGGAAATTTTAGTTATAAGTGTTGTAGCTATACGTTGTTTGGGTCAACTATAATGTTCGTGGAAATTATCAGGATCTTTTTGATCACATTTTGGTTCGATGCCAACGTACAATAAATCAACCATTTTGGCATCTATGGATGCGAGTTTACTCATGTGCCAAGGAATATTTGGCATGATCTATTACATGAGAAATTTTCGTACTCGTTTCTATTTCGTTTTTCACTGTATATATTGATATGTATTTTTCAATGAATGAAAGGTACAAGAGCTGTATGCACTATGAACTTGCTGTTGAATAATTTATTATTCCTGCTAAAGCGATTTTAATGAGACGCATTATTATTTTTGAACTTGAACTCCTTCAATACCTCAATGTTCTGCTTTCGATTACCTAATAATGGTATTGTATCATACTCGTTCTTTATTTACCAACTCCCAGTATAATGTGTTGTGAATTAAGTGCCTTTCATTAACCATGTTCGAAATTTACCGGAGTTGTTCCTCTTGATGTATATTAATTTGAACTGCAAAACATCGGTAATTATTTAGTGTGCCGATTGAATTTAAGAAGTTGTAGAGTGAATTTTATGGTATATATACTGAATTTCAATCAATTCTTGCCTTTGTACATTTTTTTCAGGATGTTGACATGTATAACTGAATGTTTTAGTCTTTTAGGATTGTAGTGAATACTTGTTAACTGAACTTTTTAACTGCCGAGTGTGACGTAAACATTTAAATTGTTATTTACGCAAGTAAAAGATTTTTTATGCAGCGTGAATGACCGATATAAAGATCTTGACCGGAGGTCAGCACGCACCCCAATTCTTATTCCTACAACGCATCGTATTTCAACGAAGTTTGGAGGTGGACAGCTGACCATGACTTAACTTCGAGATTTTTCTAGAAAATTCGCAATTTAAAAAATGTTACTCAGTACTCACTGCAGTGAGTGACAGAGCGCGCATTTTATCGTTGACGAAAACGTAAAGTCACGGACGGACGTACAGATAGACGGACGGTCACGGCGAGCATAAAAGGGCATTTTTACCATAAATGAGAAAATGCGCTAAAAATGCTTGAATAATTTTTCAGTAACGGTTTGTGATTGTTTGAACATTTGTATTCAAAGCGTAGTTGAAAAGAAAATATAAAAAGCGTTCATGAAAGAAAATAAAGTGCTACGCCTTCGAAGCGGCTAGCTGGCGGTCGAAGTTACTTTTAATGTAATGTCCAGGAAAGCTGGTGGAGCACAGGTGAAGCGCATCTCAGCAACTTGACGTGGATCTTGCAGGTAATATCTAAATGGTTGTAAATAAACGAATATCGTTACAACATCGCAAAAGTGAATATTGGAAATAACCAATTTGTACGCTATCTTTACTAGAATTTTCGAATTCGATATTAGTATCTACAAAACTGTACGTGAAGGCGTTCGTTAGAAGTATTCATTGATATCACGTAACTTATTTTGACTGCTTAATTACGTGTAAAATAAATGACACTAAACCATCGCTGTTTACCAACTTGCCTCATGTTATTTTTTACATTGAGGTTTTCTCTGAATAGAATAGTGTTGCTTTTAGGAGCCAAATAGATCAATGAGATGAGAAAGGATTCAAATTGAACTCTGAGCAAATGCATACGCCGAAAACTTTTCAATACTTAAGATACTTGACTGTATTAACTGATACATTAATAATGTAAAAAATTCACATAGTAATGAACAAAATATAATGCGTTTCAAAAGTGAGATTAAACACCATAAACATCTCATCTAGTTTATTTTATTACGGTGCATCCATTTCTGACTGAGGTATGGCGTTCAAATCTATGGAATTTCAGCAAAGTTTGCTCATTATTTTTCCGCTATTCATTAGATACATGCTTGATACTGTCCTTCAAGAGTTCAAGTTAACTGTCGCAATTAAAATTAGGCAACAATCTTTCATGAACTTTTTAATTTCAATATATGGGAATAAACAAACGGAATATTGTTATTAAAGAACTCAATTTTTTAAACTTCTGGTAGCTATATTCAATTTTTATTTCAATTACAATTATTTAGTGAGAAGTAAGGTAAATCCACTAATACGAAGACAGTGAGAATGTTTGCTTCTCGAGGCTCGCCCTGAAATAGAGCGAACATTTCACTCACTTCATTTGGCAACACCGAAATTAGCGTTATAAACATTATATTTAAAACAAAAATTTGAAAATTGGCAATCCTTGTTGACTAAAAATAAAGCGGTTAATAATATGAGTGATAATTACGGTAAGTTCGAGTTTTTCAATCAAAATTGGAGCTTCTAAACTAGAATTTCCTGTATATGATCACTGAACTTGGCGAAACTTAACCTCTCACAGAGGATAGCGGGAATTACGAACTGTGAATTATGTTCATCCTCCAAACTTGTTGTTTTGAAGCTCTTATTTCAGCTTTCGCTCCCAGTATCTTCAGGAAATCTCATTTCTTTACCAAAGGGTGCTACGTTTAGGTAGGCTTGTACCTACCTTGTAGTTCTAGGCGATCGTTTGTCACAATCACAACCAACGTGGAGCTGATTTAGGCAGCACGTTATTTTATTCACATTGTCTTAGTTGGTTTCAAACTTTTCTTTGACTATGAAGGAAAGGGAGTGGCACTCACAAACAGCATAATGGTATAATCATCACTTAAGAGTTTTTAGCATCCAGGATTCACTAGGAATCAAGTTCACACTTCACTATGCTGGTCTAAATACTACATGCATATACAACTAAATGACTAACTTTCTCCTGAGTCCTGAATTATGAATATTAGTTATCTATAAGCATACCTAGGTAGTTAGCCTAAAGTTGAAATTAAGGCAGGATGATTGAGAGACGGTGGTCTTATAGTAGGTAGCTACATAGTGGCAAACCAGAGCTTTTTTGGAATCAGTTCATTTTTAATTTCCTCAGAAACTCAAGATTTAAACCAATTTCTTAAGTATGATAATGCTGGTATCCATGATACTTTACTGGTCTACTTATAGGACTCAAAAATGAACTTGAGGGAGAGTCTAAAAAATTCTCTGCTTTGTCACTATGGGTAGCTATTAACCTTTTACCGGAAAATGTTGATACATTGCTGTTTCATTGAGCCGTACAACTGTTGTACCTAAACAACCATAACTCATGCACCCGTTTATACTTTATAGCCGTATGTTCACTTTTGTTCAGCGACCATACCGCAGCTGTAGCCGCGCATTTGCAGCCGTATTCCAAGTGGTACTGTGGTAGTACTGCTGCTGTAGCCACATGTCCTCGCGATCGCTGTTCTTCATATCCATTGTGTTTGCTCACTTTGCTGCTACAGATGCCTCACGAGTCACGGTCAGTCTGACTCTGACTGTAGGTTGTTTAGGTACAATGACTGTACTTGGAATAGTGGCATAGTCTTACTCGTCGACATAGTGGCAAAGCAGAGAGTTTTTTAGACTCTCCCTCAAGTTCATTTCTGAGTCCTATAGGTAGACCAGTAAAGTATCCTGGATACCAGCATTATCATACTTAAGAAATTGGTTTAAATCTTGAGTAAATGAGGAAATTAAAAATGAACTGATTCTAAAAAAGCTCTGGTTTGTCACTATGCTCGTCGATGATATTATTCCAAGCCCGTTGCCGTACTGCGGTTGAAGATGACTGTGACCGTACCGCTTCTTGATGGAAATTGTGACAGTATCGTAGAATCGTACTGATGACCGTACCGATGATAACTCCCGGTGCATAGTGGCAAAGCAGAGAGTTTTTTTAGACTCTTCCTCAAGTTCATTTTTGAGTCCTATAAGTAGACCAGTAAAGTATCTTAGATACCAGCATTATCATGCATAAGAAATCTGTTAAAATCTTGACTAAATGAGGAAATTAAAAATGAACTGATTCTAAAAAATCACTGGTTTGCCACTATGTCCCGGTGTACAACTCAAACTTGAATTTCCTGATGACGTGCGTTATAATCGTTGTACAAATAGTGGCTTTCTCGCATTGTCTCACGGCTGAGTCGCAGCCGTAGTGTTGATGTTGATTTTCTTGACGTGCTCACTGGACTCATGACTGCTACGATAAGTCCAGGCATAGTGGCAAAGCACAGTTTTTTAGACTCTCCCTCAAGGTCATTTGTGAGTCCTATAAGTAGACCAGTAAAGTATCCTGGATACCTGATTCTAACTGATTCTAAAAATTCTGTGGTTTGCCACTATGAGTCCAGGTTTCTCGCGACAGTCAATGTTTGAAAACGGTAACACCACAGGCCTCACGGCTGCGGCCGTTAAATACAGTCCGCTGACTGCAGACTGTGCTTGCGTGACTGTCACCTTCGTAAAACCAATGACCTTTGGTACCAATTTTGAGGTCCTTATATAGGGAGCAGTCGCGCACAGACGCACAGTTAAGCCTGTACCCTCGAAGTGATGCCTCATTCCTCAAATGGAATGCCCCTTGCGCTGAGCTTGCCAACGTTCACTGTAAACTAACTCCTTCCAATGGTCTCAAAACAACTGCGCCTTACACACTTGCTATACTGCTGTGGTTCCCAAAGTGGGCAATATTGCCCCCCCTAGGGGTGGTGGAAATATTTTGGGGGGCGATTAGGAAGTTTGGGGGGCAGTAGGGGGGTGGCAGTCCAAAATTAAAGTCAGAAGTTCCAACATTTGTTTGACAATTTGTACACAACACGTGCAGCACATCACGACTCCAAGCAATGGTTTTTTTTCATCTAGATCTTTTTTTTAGCCTCTCCTGGGTTTACGTCTCAGACAAATTAATGGCCGGACTTGCGGCTGGTCTCACGGTCAATTTCCAAATTCAATGATCAAGAAATATCTCTAAACTAATGAACATAACTTGATGAAACTTGGTACATGTATTCACCTAACGGGAATGTTTAGCTCGTGAAATTTATTTTTAATTTTGCCTTCATTTGTATTTTCCATAGTTCTATGGCAATACGGGTGGAAATTCACAATGATCAAGGAATTTATTCCAAACTATTGAACAGATTTGAACGAAATTTTGAATTTGTAGTCCTAACTAATGAACGGTAATGTTTAGCTTGTGATAATTTATTCAATTGTGCCATTGTTCGCAAGTTTTTTTTTTTCATTTCACCTCCATTTGTGATTTAAACAGCAATACATGCTTAAATTTGCAGTAATCAAGAAATTTCTTCCAAAACTACTGAATAGATTTGAACAAAACTTAGTTTTTAAATACCTAATCAACGGTGGTGTTTAGCTTGCTACAATTTTTTCATGTCGCCATCGTTTGCGAGTTATACGGCTATACATAAACGGCTCTTGGTTGAGTCGGCTGGTAGAAAAGCAAGTCGTTCCTCCTATATCTGTATAACTCGCAAACAAAAGTAAAATAGAAAAATTGTCACAAGCTGAACATCACCGTTGGGAGGTTAGGTATTTATATATAAAGTTTCTTTGAAATCTGTTCAGTAGTTTAGAAGAAATTTCTTGATCGCCGCAAATTTAAGTGACAAATTATCCGGCAATACGGGCCGAATATAAGGAAGTGTGAAATCAAGAATGATGGTGGAATAAAAAAAACTCGCAAACGAAGGTAAAATAAAAAATTTTTAAGGTCTCGGATAAATTTACGGCCGGACCCGTGGCCGGTCTCACGGCCGAAAGGTTTTCTTAGTGTTTTTATGGATTTTTCTAGGTTTTTTTGTGTTTTTAATGGAACCTGTTCCTAACTGGACCTAACCTGCAAGTAATTTTTGAAGTTAAAAAATCACCGTTAGGTAGCTAGGAATGTATCTTCAAAATTTTGTTCAAATCTGTTTGGTAGTTTGGAAGAAATTCTTTGCTCACTGCGAATTTCGGCCCTTATCGCAATATAACTCATTAATGAAGGTGAAATTTAAAATTTTTTACAAGCTAAAAATCACTGTTAGGTTCTGATGAGTACATGTTCCAAGGTTCATTGAGCTGCGTCCATTAGTTTGGGAGATATTACTTGATAATTGAATTTGGAGATTGGTTGTGCGACCAGCCACGACTCCAGCCGTAAATTTGCCCGAGACGTCCTAGGTTTCTAGTGCCAAAACAGTTGAAACAGCTTAAAAACGTATTGGTTCACTGAATGGGGTTCTATTTGTGAAAAACACATTTGTGTTTAACCTTTATCTTTTAAAATTACAGCGTACTTAATTTCAAGAAAGAGGCGTATGTTTTTATATGTGTCTGTGGGGGCGCTAGAAATTCACTAGGGAGCCAAAGGGAGCGACAGCCTGAAAAAGTTTGGGAACCACTGTTATATTGCTTCGACCCGCATTCTCAACAGCTACGCATAATACATGTTCAATATTTCCCATGTCCAATATTACCTACTTTATTCACATTCATGGGCATTACTGTCTCATTAATGGGTGGCTTCTGCCTCATTTTCCAGTTTGGAGAGAAGTTACTAGATTTTGCAGCCTTCAAAAAATATGTTTCCACATTTTCTGTCAAATGTTAATTTTATCTATGTGCAGATACCAATAAACAGTTTTCTCAGTCTATATTCATCGTATATTTTTATACATGTTTTTTTTAATAGTCTAAAAAGTATTTATTAGTGCTTTGTGCATTGGGCAATTCTAATAATGGTGGTTAATATACTCACTATTGATATATCAATCCTGCTGGTCCACTTTTTTGGTCCAAAAATAACTGCTGAAATACAATGGAAGGTTAAGGTTTTTCTCATTGCCAATTTGTGATACATGATAATTTTACCAATGATTTTCAACTTTTTTCAGGCAAAAAAGGCCATTTTTCATAATTTCAACTCGAAATTGAGCCAGGACTGTTAAAATGGGTGAATAAATACACTACCATGGGCATTTTCATCTCATTCATGGCATTGCCATGGGCCAGATGTAACAGCAAAGATATTAGTGCTGGTGGAAAATTTTTAGAGAAATATTTTCTAAGCTACAGGAAACAATAATTTACCCATGTCAGTTTTTGCATTTTGTCTCCAATTTTACCCTAAATGTAACAAGGAAAATTGGCTTCTCGTTATGGACAATTTAGCCATTTTAAATTCATTCTGACCAATCTCAATCTAATTGTCATTTATCATGTAAAGTAATATTCTATGTATAAATGTTGGTCAAATTATGTCCAAATTCTATTTCGCATTTCATAAACCAATTGCAATTACTCAGAGAAGTTGATGCAGCTGGAAACACAACTGCAGAAGTGTCTACTTGTAGATTAACAAACTTCATTTTAGATTGAGAGATTTTTTTCTGAAATTCAAGCACATAAACTTTTTCAAGTCAGTGCTTACAACTCTTTGGACCTAATTTTTGGTGAAAATTATTGGTGGAGTTTGTGCTTCTTAATTAATGAAATATATTAATGTGGGCATTTACTGGTGCAGGTGGTACTTGAGCTAGTGAACTGAGAGTGATAACTAACATCAATTCACTGAGATTAATAAACTTAGACAGACTTTGTCAAAAATGTGCTGTTCCCATGAGACTGAAGCATTCAGGGGTATATCAAGCTACTTGAAGTGAACGCTTGAAAGCATTTAATATTGAGAACTGCAATTGTACATCATATTCAAGGAGTTCAAACTCATTTAGTTATTATTATAGGCCTTTTAAATCTTGAACTAAAAACATTTATCAATGAACTAAGTAATTCAATTGCACATAAAAGGTGAAATTGCTATTTTGACTGCTTGGTATAAGCACCTGCTTTCCACCGCCCTGTATATAACCATTTGTTTTCTTGCAGAAGAAGGCTACCTGGATGATGCCAGTTCCTTGGAGTGCATTGAACATGCTGAGCAGAAGAAAGTGCGGTACTTGCAAAAGTATAAGAAGGAGTGGGAGTTGGATTACAAATTCAGAGGTTTGCTGAACTTTACTCGAGTTGACCTTGAATATGTGATTAAATATTATTTGCAACTTTATAGATGTGGCATGACTGATAAATTTGCCATTTGAGATAATAAATGACAATTGGTTTCATATGTGGTTGGATATAAATTATTTACACTAGTGTAGTTTTTCTTAAAGCACTAGTGTTGCTTTATCATTCTTGCAAATTCTATGTTATTTGCAGAGAAGGCAGACAACTCTTAAGTAAGGAAAAAATGTGGGTTACCACTTATGTCTGCTAGCTACCACTAACCATGACACTGAATAGTGTATTAGTGTTCCTAAACAAATGTTCTAATGATATACAGTGGGGGGAATAAATATTCGTACACTTGAAAAATCGTATTTTAATGTATGTAAGTACACAAACTTAACAGGAAAAGTGATTTAAATTATGTATAGAGACGCATAGTATTTTTGCATTGAGATTTAATTTCTTTTGATAGTATTTTTGAATACTATGCGTCTATATACATAATTTAAATCACTTTTCCTGTTAAGTTTGTGTACTTACATACATTAAAATACGATTTTTCAAGTGTACGAATATTTATTTCCCCCCACTGTATTTCATTAGCTAATTCAATCAATTACATTAGATTTCTCCTTATTCTTCTTGTACTCTTTATTTTTCCATGCCTTTTTTATAGCCAGGTGGCCAGTATACTTGCCGGTTAGTACTTTGAGTAGCAATATAAAATTTGAATTTTTTTCTTAATTCGTTAGAAGATACCTAAATAAATGCCTCAAGTTGAAAAGAAAAAGATTTTATACCCTCCAGGGAATTAGCTGAGTAAATAGGTTAATATATGGAATTACATTAACCCAGCATCTTGATGGATCCTTTAGGAGCATGAGTAGCTAAAATATGTGGGTACAATTGATTTAAAACTGATTCTTGTAGTGTGCCTACCTCTAAAAGCGTTGAATCAGCTATGTAGTGAGTGAATGATTTTTTTTTGTTCTAGTGAAATATTAAAAACAGTTTTTGAAGGAAGAAGCTGGTGCCTGTAATGTTTTTTAAAACTCTTCTATCAAGTGATTTTCATTTTTTATTACACTTCTTGCAGACTGGCTGGAGCCCATACAAAATGATCCCTATTCAGCATACTGCAATGTTTGCTGCTCCTCTCTCACTGCTCGTAAGAAGGACCTCATGGATCACGGGGAAACTCGCAAACACAGGAAAAATCTTGTTTACAAGCGAAATAACCCTGCACTCTACCATAAAATGATGCAGAATATCCGTGAGGTGGATGCAAACGTCATCATGGATAAGAGCATCCCATGGCAGCCTGACGCAATTAAGGTAGTGAAATTGTTTAGTTAACTGGCCCTCTTGACGGTCGGCTTAACCTGAAGTCAGTCTGGAGTATCATGTAATTTCAGCTGCTGGTGAATCCAATATCGTCTTCTGGTCAGAATGGAATATTAGGTCATAAAATTTAAATTCGTAGTTAATTTTGGTACTTTCGTTTTTTTATTAATAGTATAATTTTGCAGTGTCTTATTAGCCAAGTGGAGCAGCAACATGATCTGTTCTACGACGCCAACGTAAAGAAGTCCATGCTGTTTGCTATCATCAGTGCTGAGATGAATAAAGCTGGATTTCTGTGTGTGCCTTCAGAATGTCAACGCAAGTGGGAAAGTCTTAGAGTAAGAACTCTCTTTTGATAAATTTAGTTTGAACTACTTTCACACTTTTCGTTTGGTGTAAACATAGAATAGGATCTTATATTTTCTTGGTTTATTATGTTTAAAACTTTATTTTATTCTGAGTAAACGTACCTCTGCTGAGATGATCCATTATTCTGTTGTACAACTTAATTATCTTTCTCCTTGTTCCACTTGAGCTTTGATGTTCATAAACTTTTTGCTCAATTTCATGTACAATGTAATTGATTTAATTCTCAATTCATTAGCTACCATATTTTGTCGAATGTTCACTGGCTTCAGTATCTCTAAACATACAAGTTAGAAGCGGTGCAATTGAATTTTTTATTCATGAGGGGGTTGTCAGTTTTTTATTATATCACACATTATTGATTATAATTTTTTTACATATTTAAGTAATTTTAATTTTTGTTCACAGAAAAGCTATGAGCGTGTGTTGCAGTATCAAGTAAAAGGGGAGTTCAAGTCCAGGTTCCCATACTTTAATATGATTCATCGCTTCCTGGCTAAAGATATTGATCCTCTTGGAATGAGGGAGAAAATGTAAGCGTTCACTGACGAGCTTCATTTGTAGCTTAGCTAGTGTTTAGTTATTGGATGAATAACCCCATACACATAAGGGATCATTTGCATTGCTAAAAAGAATGTTCGTGAAATTTCATTGCATGTGTAGTAATTTAAATGCTCAGTTCCGAAAAATGATGATAAAATCCATATAATACAGGGTGTTTCAGAATTAAGTAACCCTTTTAATTTGTTAATAAATAAAAAACTAAGAACGTTATGAAGTTGAAACTTGTTTTATTTAAAAGAAGAACATTTTCATGGTAATATTGTATCATAGTTACGTCATTATCCTGTATAGCTTGCTAAATTTGTGTTTAATTATCAAGCCTTAAATTTTCATCATGATTCGCTACAGCAAAGATGAAAGAACAAAAATTATCGCTACAGTCAATAACGATGTCAATAACAGAAGTTCAACGTGATTACAGGATCCATTTCAAAACAAGGATCCTTCAAAAAACACATTTAAATATCTTTATCGAAAATTTGCGGATATCAAAAATTTGCACTCTCGTCAGAAACACTAATGAAGGTTATGCAAGCAACGAAGAGAAGAGCCCTATTTTGTCAAAACAATTGTGGTGGGCATTTAAAAGATATTATATTTAAAAACTAGGATACAATATTACCATAAAAATGTTCTTCTTTTAAATAAAACAAGTTTCAACTTCATAACGTTCTTAGTTTTTTATTTATTAACAAATTAAAAGGGTTACTTAATTCTGAAACACCCTGTATAATGTGGCCTTAATGTGTTGTTAATGCTATTACCAAACATTATATTTCTTGTGTTCGTTGTTGTACTGTACAGAAGATGCTATCAGCTGTTTGTGAAATTAAATGTTCACTCACACTTAAATTAAATGTTCACTCACACTTAATTAAATGTTCACTCACAGTACATCCGGCGGCTCAGTCCCCCTGTTCTTGAACCTATTGCTGCTTCCTGTGTGACGCTGATTGATCTGTGTTTGTTGACAGGTTGTGCCAGAAGCTTGGTCGTCCATATCACCCAAATGATCCTTTGATATTAGATGGAAACTTGGATGGCACTGAGTACCGCACAACAATCATCAGCTCGAAAAGAGATCCACTAAGTGTCTCCATCAACAACACGGACACCACCACAGAAATCACTATCAGTTCGTGTGATTTAATTGACGAAAATGAAGATTTAGAAAACGACAGAATTGTGGGAATTAATGCTGATGACTTGGTACAACTTGAGATGGAAAATCATTTGGACGCTGAACGTTTTCTTGAAGAAGGTCAAATTATTGACGAGCGAGAAATTCCAGCCTTTGGAACCCCAATAAAAGTTGGGCCTGATGAAGACTTGGTCGTGAGGGAGTGGGAGGAAGGCGCCGTCGATGCCTTGCTTGCCGTCATGGGCGAGATTAATTTCAGCGCTGACATGATGCTGGCTAAAGGAAAGTTCCAGGATTCTTTCTGGGAGGTGAGTATCTGTGCTACGTAGTCTTTGGTTCTATGTAATGTGTGGGAACTTTCTGAAGCGCTAGATAGCCTACTACCGTTGCTACAGCTTACGTGTGGAATTGATCCAGAAGCTTGAGATATTTTAAGAATGTATCCTTGAAGACTAGCACGCATTTCTTTCAATTAACTGTGGTTTTACTACTTCAAATTCTTTGCCTCAGTACAATAAACTGTAAAAGTTTTATTGAAAACTATTGTAGATGAACATTTATATTATGTGGCGAAATACGAATACCTGGTCATTGGGTTCGCTGTCAGCAAATTATGGGGCATAGATATATAAATGTATACAAATTTCTCGGTTTACCTCGAAAGCTGTGTGGAAACAATGAAGGTTAGATTGATATGAACTTGCTTTCCTTGAGAAAAAATACAAATTTTGAAAGTAGGCGCGCATCAATAATCGAATTAATTTGGAGTTTCGTTTTTTCAGGAAGTCTCTCATAATTTACTGAAGCGGTATTGTGAAGTCTCATCGCTTGAGTGTCGCTACAAATGGCGACAACTGCTTGGCCAATACAAGCGCATGTTTGAACGTCGCCAGCGCCTGGGCGGTCGTAAGAACACAACAGTGTCTTTCAAATACTATGACTGCGTCGGGAGAATACTTGAGAAAATACACAGTGTCAAAACTCCAGGTAAGTTTTCTTAGGTTCTGGCTCCACCAACTTTTCCTGCCAAATAAAAAAAAATTGTGAGATCCTTGATGTTTATAATGTTATGGTCAAAATACAAACAAAAATGTCTCTTCTAGCACATTTGATGTTCATAAAAAAAATTAGTTCATATGAGTGGTACTTTGTATTTGTTTCAGAAAGTTATCCTAGTTTTTTCTATCGGATTTTGAATAGAGTTTGAGCTGCTTTCCCAAATCTTATATAATTCTAATTACATTTTTCAATCAGGCGTCTCAAGAATAAAGCGTAATTTAGACGATACAAGCTCGGAAGACATGCATCCTGCCAAGCGACGCCAGATGAGAGCGGGACGTGGCAGGGGCCAGAGCCGAAACTCGTTCTCCTCGGATCATTCAGGCAGTTATTATTCCCCGTCTGTTGCACACAATAATTCACGCACTGCCACTCAAATAAAGAAAAATCATGGGCAATATGTTCGTGTGTCCGGTATTGCAGAGCACATCAAGAAAGAGAAGGAGGATGTTCCTGACGTAGATGACGAAGATCACCTTATGAATGAAGCTGATGATATGGAGGATGATGAAGCAGGGCTTGATAACGGTCTAGTTGGCGAACCCAAACTTAGTATCAAGTTAATGCAAACAAATTTACTACGCGTAACACAGAGAATTGAAATGCTTGAAAAAGAGATAGCTAAAAAGAACGATAGTCTATGTCGCAATGTGGATCATCATTCCCAAGGCCCTCAGATGATCGATCTACTAACAAAAATTCTCCTCGAAATGAAGAAGATGAACTCGACGACGCATAAATGTTGTAACGCTGCGTGTGGCAATAACATTGCAGACAACGGGGCCGCTAATACAGGCCCTGACGTGCCCTCTATAATGACCATCACATCCGACAGCGCTGGTTTGCCCTCGCTCCACTCATCAACCAGCAGCAGTGAATGCACCAATAAAAACACAATCGCCGACTCCGTTCCGTCTAGTCTCGCAGTTTCGCCTTGCAAATTTACAAAAAATACACGAAGTATAAATGAAAGTGATAGTTTAAGAAAACTTGTTACTGGTTTATAGTGCATTGTTCTCTAGATGTAACATCTGCTAGTGCACTTGTGTTCTGTTGAACACTTGATAACGACTCGTGGTTTTGTACGTTTAAGCATTATGATGTGAAGAAGTGTCCTACACCTAATTTCTATCTGCGGTTGTGCTCTCATTATTATATCGTGCACGACAAGTTACATAGTTATGCGAGAGATGTCGTGAATTTAGTATTAATTTTATTCTCTAGATTGCTTTGAAGGGGTTAACCATTTATTCTGAAATTCTAGGTTGTATCTGTTGTTGTTTTGTGGGATATAACGAAATCAGATCTCTAATAAATAATTTATTAAGAAATCAACTAAAAGGGATAATATAACGAACTCGTCACAGTCCATTAAAAAGTAACACTTGTGAGCAGCCACTTTAATTTAATAAACTTCATTGAGCTACAGGCATTTGCACTAGAAAACGGCGGTGATTTTCATAGTACAGACTTGACTTCTCACCAAACATGACGAGTCCACCTAAGTTTACGATAAATCGAAATTTCATACACCCTAATCTCTCAGAAATGTCAATTGTATCGTTAAACTGAACTTTGTTGGTTACAGTTTAATAGGTAAACGATGAACTGAGTTGTTAGAATAAGTGTCCTCAAGAAGTTGAAAAAAATAATCAAATACGAAAAAAATTAGTCTGGATTTCGCTTTACATGGAAAACATCCTGGTGTTAACAGACATATTTGACATGCCCAAGTGTGAAATGGGAAATACGGGGATAAACGTCGGCCCCCATTCTCGATTTGACAACGTTTATTATTTAATGGGAACATGGGAAAATCTATATTTCTCAGAGCGATGCTTTACGTCATTTGTGGTTGCTCGAACAGCAATTGTCCAAGCGATTGTCGAATCGTTTTACATGAATCGCACGTTACTTACTTTTTTTTACTTTCTTGGTTTATACCACAATGCTGCACTTATCAGCCTTATTACATGGAAAGGAAAGTTGTGTTGAACTCCCTTAATAGAACCCTACTAAACCCAACTTGACGCGCGTATATTTTACACACCTCGAATTGTTACGATGAAGACGTTTGCTTTAGATCGAAGTCATATGACGAGATACAGTCAATACAATCTATTTGATAACAGTGCTGTGCAGTGTTCAAATCAAAGCGATAATCAGGTTACCTAAAAATAACTTCATTCATGTTGTAAACCAAGTACACTCAAAATTACCATTATACGCAGCATAATCAGACTGAAATTAGAAGATTTTAATACATTCAAATTATTCCTAAATCAATAGCAAGGGGTATTGTAAAAATTTCACATAATCAAACATGATATCACCACAGCGTATAAAACTGTCGAGTTGATGTAAAAACGTTGCTGATCAGCGTAGCAAACGAAGCTACGCAGTCTACCAATCTCACGACTAAGTTGTTCTACGAATTATCGATTTCTAACTAGTCCACTAAGAGAAGAGAAACTTTTTGCAGGTCAGTTTTAACGACGCTAAATATAATGGGAAGCTACAGGGTTCTACTCCAGGGCACACAATTCGAAAATTTGATCATGGCTAAACGCCTAGCGTAAACAATTTATTGGTCTTGTTCCCAGAAAACCGCGTCGTAAGAAGTTGGTTACCGAAAAAAATATATACCAGGGTCTATACTTTCAAAATAAGTTAAGAGATCGTAAGTTCATCAGCCAATCATTGACGGCCTTTCAAGCTAAATCTGCCAATCATAGACAAGAAAATAGAACGTAATTACTTACGTTCACTTAACGAGTTTTGAAGGTATGGCCCCTGGCATACATTTTCAAGACATGATTGAATCGTTTTACGGCTATAACTCGAGTAAAAATGAAATATTTCACTATAAAATCGGCGAAGAATGTAGTAACACCAATTTCACGAGAAGCTTCTATTAGTCTAGGTCCCATAAGCTACAATTTGCTAATATATTAGAATCATTTACCCTCAGCATGAATTCCTACGTTTGCTATCAAATTGAAATCTCAGACTGCCTCCTCAGATAAAGCAGTGGTATTTTATCCTCTCCAGGATAAAGGAGTTTGTTTTTCCGATTCTGTAACAAAATGGGATGCGAGTTTTCTGTTAATATTACCGGAAGCGCAGCCGTGCACCACAAATTTCGAACACCGATCAGCTCTGAATTGAACGCCTAGCATCTTTCTGAAAGGCCACTAAGCTCGTAGAGCCTGACGTTACAACATCACTTTGATTTAAATACCATAAACTTCACACCACTGAATGCGGGAGCCAACATCAAAGCTTGACGAGGAAGTTTGACTGCCTTACCAGGTCCAGGGGAAGAAAGCGCACTGTAAATATTAAATGTAACAAAAAACAGCCAGTAACTTAGTTGCAAGAAAGATATAAATAAATAAGTTATATAGGAACTTGACTAAAAATCTGGCACCAACAACGAAATTAATCATCATCTAACATTGCCAGTGTTTGTTAAACAGCTATTTGAAAATCACTAGGGATAATTGCTGTGATTTGGCCTTCATGCTCGATGTATCGGTTTGACTTACACAATGATGCATCTAATAATAAAAACATTATTACAGAATTCGCCCGTGCATGAAAGCAGTCGATCGAATGTAGAAACTATCATTCATCAACAAAGCATCGCTCGAGTGGAACCAAATGCACTAGCAATCAAGGCAGTCAAGCGCTCGGCACAGCAGCAGACATCAGGTGTTGATTAGGTAACATTTTCTTGTAAAATATCTGCATTCTCAATGAACTATTATAAAAGTAATGATGGTAAAATGTATTATACTGAACACGACTATTTCCGAGCGCAGTCTCAAGAGTATTGGATGTATATCAGCAATTATTAGCCAAATAATGCACATTGAGCCGTTACACTCACATTTATAAATAATACATTTCTTGGCTGAAATAGCAAGTACCGGCAATAAAAGAATTACAGCCAAATTGAGCATGAGTGAAAAAATATGTAGATTTGGAGAAATGAATTACAGCAAAATAAAGTGGCAAGTTACTGGTTTTGGAATTTCGTACAGGAAAATATATTGATGCTATGATACAAAATCGTATTAACTACACTCGAGTACCACGCTTGTTCCCATGTCTTGTGTTTGTTCCCAATCTTATGAACAGATATCTTTTGCTTTGCAACCTCAACAAAATAAATAGCTAAGCGACAAGCGGTTACTAGTCATGCTACGCTGCACTGAAACGTAATCCGAGTTAGAAAGAAGATGAATTATTTAAGCATACTATGACTTACTGGTGACTAAGAAGCGCTAACTATTTGAGAGGATCTCAATATACTAAACTATTACTGAGCACAGTTAAAAGAACTAGAATATTAACAGTGCAGAAACAGTGCTTTCCGGGGTGTATAACACAACACGCAAGTCTGTACGAAGCAAATCAATGAACGTGTCACCAATCAGGTAATTTTCACACAAACGGTGCAGCGTAGGTGAGTGCACAGCGATGAATCCTCCCTCGACGTCATCACAAACTAATGAGCGGTCGGTGGAGTAAACTTTTATTCAGAGCACAGATTATTTTATAAACCAATCTGAGGTGTGAATGAGAATACTGTCGGTCAGCAGTACTTCTCATTTTCTGAAAGAGTAATAATCCATATACAAGAGCGTGAAGAATGTGTTACAAGACACACCAGTCTATTCTTACGTCTAATACACCGTACAAATCTTCCCGTATTAACAGAAGCTCTGGAGTAGATGTTTTGAAAAAAAAAAAATACATGAGAATTTCAGTTAATCTCACCAGCGTAATTGATTCAGCCAAAAAATACCCCTAGCTGAAATGAAAATCGAATTTATTTTCGGTCGCAGCACATTTGAAGGATTCAATTTTTAATTTATATTTTAAATTGAAACAAAAAGATACGAGGCCTAAACTCCGCTATTCATCCTGACGCTTACAGCAGGTTAGCACGTTAAGCACAAAGTGACACCGAAAGCACTAAGTGACTTTGTCCTCAATGATTAGCATGATTGCCGCATGGCTTAGGATAATACGCAGCCTTTCTAACTGATATGCTTTTGTTGAGATCGACATGAGCAAGAGCTCATGAAACACTGAGCATTTATTTACATGTTCATTTCGTAGATACCGGGAGCTCAATGGCAATACTCACAAGATGCTCCGGGATCAAAGCTTCGAGTTAATTAATAAAGATAAATTCGACTTGCGAACTAACTACCGACATCTAGAACACATTAAGAATAATAACCAGTCATATCGATACACATAATTATATGAACGCGCATCATGAAGGCGCTGACACTCAATAGTGAATTCTACATCGGTGATGCAAACGTCAAAGTTTGTGACATTTGGTTCGAAAATATGAGTATTGAAATATTTGGACTAAAAGTAACATTGATTATTGCTGGTGTAGCTATCAACTGGCCAACAATCAGAAGCAAGTTCCTGAACTCCAAAATATAATATATGATGTACACACTTGCAGCGCACGCAATTAATTCTACGTATATTTATAAGTAATCAACTAGTGTTTGTGAGTGATGCCAAATGTTCGAGTTAACTCTGGTAACGTTACAATCAACACATCACTGTAGCCTGCCAACGACTGAACTTCTTTTGGTAAAGTTACATTTGCTAAACGGAAAAACTTCTCCCCAACGGTATACACTTTTCTTGGCTGATAACACGGAAGATATCATACTCTTGAAGTTACTCTAAAGAAATTAGATGTTTTTTTTTTAATTTTTAGCAGAATATTAAAATTCTTCCATGGCAGAACAGTTGTTAAGCTTTGCTTCTATCACTTAGATAAAAAAATCTGCCTTACCACATGAACTTCGAGAGAACTCGACTAAAAGCTAATGCTTAGCTAAGGTTATACGTCTGGTCCCCTTTGCTTAGACAGGCATGTACCATTTTTATAATACCAAGTGAAGAAGGTTCCAGTTTGCCACTTAAATATTGTGTCTGTAGGTTGACCTCTTGAGACGAGCTCTAATGCTTTCAAAAATCAACTGTTTTGTCACAGAGTAATGATTATCGGTGAAATTTTCCCACAAACATAAACTGGGAAGTCATCAGGTACTAAGCTAGGAGAAAAGCCACGTCCACGAACTTGAAAATTCCAAAATCGAAGATGCCTTCTTCCCGAACAAAAAAAGATAAGTGGGTGAAAAACCGATACTCCTGTAGAGCAGACCGTGAGAAATCGAAGCATTAATTTCAATATTCACTAGACCTAAGACAGAGAAGAGGCTACCAAGACTCCGCAAAGAATTTTATTAAAGACAAAATACGCTTACTATAACTCCTTGCTCGATGAATAGAATACTGCAGCTTAAAATATCGACCAGTGAATTCGAGGTAGATGACTTGCATGTCACAAAGCCGAACTTATAACAAGATTCAACCTTCCGACTACAAATTGTAAAGTTAATCCCATACTACAGTATCCCAAGGCTAATTTCAACTTCGAAATCACACGCCCGCCTTTAGCAAAATTACGAAAGCCCAGCACATACACAATGTGTAAAAGAAACAGTTGAATAGGCTAGACTAACAGCAGAAAATAGAACGATCTAAGTGTTCTTGTCCAGCCTGTATTCTGAGTTTGATACTGAGTAATGAACTGGTTCGGCCCCGAGAAAAATGTTTTTGACACTATTCCTCTCTGTGTAGGCACAGAAAAAACATTGGTCGATGAATAGCGTGGGCAAAGGCAAAAAAAATGTTTGGGTTTGTTCAAGCAGATTACATACAATGCGATAGATTATTGCAAGGGTAAACCAGAATGGCCTTAAAGCTCTGACTAATTGCAAGGGCTAACCAGAATGGCCTCAAAGCTCCGACTAATATAACTTGCACTATGAAGGTTCAATTTGACACGTTCTTCTTCATCGATCCAAAAACCAAACTTATATAACTTATATTCTCGCTATTTAACGAACTAAGACAAGTCTAAAGTGAGAAAATGCGCAAGAAACTCTATTTTTTGGAAATCTTTTTAGTTCCAAAATGCATTACTAATATAATGGAGTAAAATGCAAACATAGATATTCTAAAATTATGTTTAGGTAGACTTTGCGTTAGACAGGAATTTTCACACGAGAAACAAGATCATGGTCTATGAAGCAGTTCTGATGTGGCTGCAATTGCAAAAATAAATTACTAGCGATAGAAAAATACCTTGGAACTTTCCAAATACCATAGGGATCAATGGATCAGGCAATCTGGACTGAAAATTTTAGTGAGTCACACTCTGTGACGCTGCAATAGGTTAACGCAATGATTACCCGCCAAATACTTTTTCATAAGCTGCTTTAAGTTCAGAAATTTAGCCTTTCTGAACAGAGGTTTAATTTAGATCTAAAATCCATAAAACAGAGAAGTAAATAAAACCGTGGTAGATTTAGGATCGAAACTCAAAATTGAAAAGAAAGTAATAAATATGGAAGGCTAAAAGTCTACCACATTATTCAGGATTCATTACAGAAAAATTAGACAATACAAACAATAAGACATCTAATATAATCTCATGTCAATCAAATCGACTAACTTAAAAAATTAAAAGTAACAACGATCGAGCAAATCATGAAAACTTTACATCATGCATTATAAATGCCATCACAGACAACATGCTCATGTCTTTAATTCAAGGGTCTACGGAAGCTAAGGTAACTAACGACACAAAAGAACACGCTCCTCTCATCCGACATTTGGCATCGACTATGACTAGAACACATTGATTGGTGTCACGTCAAAGTAAGTGAAGGTGAACCTAGAAAATATGACACAAATATAAGGACGAACGGCGTCGGTGTACCGCCAACATCTAACATTATCTATATACATAATTTTGTTCGTTTTGCAACCATTAATTTCAAACCTTATTGCTTTGACAACAAGAAGTACGTGGTGATCAACAAGTCTAATATACGACACTCAGCCGTGCATTTCTGTATGAAATACACGAATTTAGAGATTCATCACTCAAAATACTTCCTTAAAAATTATATAATTCAAGTCTGCATGTGAGTCATACCACAACCTAGAAAGAACACCTGGCTCTTGGAGTAAAAAGGGTTCATTTGCACCCTTTCTTTTACACCTGAAAGTATTCATTTTACAAGCACACGAAAACCAATCGATCCTCTATGATATGCTTCAGGTTTGTCTTCCCAAAATCATCAGAGAATTTCATCCATGGGAATGCAATTGGTTTCTGTAATGGACGCGTCATCTTGCGACGCAAGCTCCTCCTCTCTTGACTCCACAAGAAGCTCGTCGGATTTAGTGAAGAGTACGGCTTTGTCAAAGCCCATGTGATGCTCGTTAGGCTTCGTAGCCACGGGAACTTTGTTGGCATGAGCAGCGGCCAAATCGGAGCCAACGGGACTGGCATGCCAAGTCCTCCTGATGGCAGGGGACAAATGAGCAAACCTTGAAAAAGGGCGCTGAGGAACGGGACGTGTCGTCTGTAGGGATCCTACAGATAAGGATCGAAGTCGATCTGCAGCACAAATATCGACGATTTTATTGCTACATTCACTAGATTGGGCATCCTCCAGACAAAGAGTGCCGGATCCTTGACGCGAAGCGTAGCCTGGATTGTCTAACCCTTGCAAGATTTCATTATTTTCAGATGTTCCAACGACGGCCATGAACATTTGAGAAGACCGTCGTAGCAAACCTCATATGTCTTTAACCTGTCGTATTGGATTACCACCATTCATTTGCATCTCGGGGGTACGGTAGACATCATCGTCAGGCTCCTCCTCATTATGAGTGATATCGCAGCATGATCGTACTGTCCACTTGTTCATCTTCCCTTGCCTATAGTAGGAGACGATCCAGGTCTTCTCGTCTTCGTCTTTCTGAAACTTGGGCCCGTTGATGTCAACCCATGGGTGGCCGAAGCAGGCGTAGTAAACCCCGTGAAGCACAATGCCTATGAAGTAACTTAGCACACACAAGGCACCCGACACCGCCATGAAGGTGTTGTCGTATTTGTTCCTGTCCAGACCAGCCATTCCCAAAAACAACAGGATGAAGTTCTCCAGGAACGACAACAACAGGAACAGTACCTGCAAAGTATTACAAGCTTAGAGGAAGTAACATGACTAAATATCCCAGGAAGTCGACAAAACATACCAAGCTGCCCAGAATCAATGCTACATCTTGTCTTTCAAGTTTGTGTGGTCTTTCAACCGAGCCACTTGGCTGCAATTTAATGCGAGTAATTTAATTAATAATTAATTAATTCTTAATTAAATTATTATTATTATTAATTTATTAATTCAATTTAATGGCCTTCAATACCGCAAAATTAATGATCAATACATTACGTTGAGTCGTTGACCAATAACAAATACTACAATGAGAATAAAAAAAATTGTCACTTCCTGAAGAGACGTGAACACTCACCTGAATAACAACGGTAGAATGACGTCTGCTGAGTTGTTTTTTGACTACAGAAGGTCGTTCAAGCCTAAAGTAAACAAGGGTAGACGCAATGGTGCCGAGGAAGACGTAGAAATAAGGGCGGATTGTAGAAAAAAGGCAGTGGCAGTAGGTGTGTGGACGCGGAGGGATGAGCGAGCGCTCCTCGAGGCGTAGCTTGAAGCCCAGCACGATGATGAAGTGGACGCCGAGCACCACAAAGATACGCCAAGTGTACGCTAACGTGAACATGGTACACGCGATCGCACGGGACACCACCTGTCATCAAGAGAATTTCATTTAATGGTAAAACTGCAGTATAGGGGAATGTGAGGTAAACCCGCTGTATAGAAGAATGAGAGGTAAAACCGCTGTATAGAAGAATGAGAGGTAAAACCGCTGTATAGAAGAATGAGAGGTAAACCCGCTGTATAGAATAATGAGTGGTAAACCCGCTGTATAGAAGAATGAGAGGTAAACCCGCTGTATAGAAGAATGAGAGGTAAACCTGCTGTATAGAAGAATGAGAGGTAAACCCGCTGTATAGAATAATGAGAGGTAAACCCGCTGTATAGAAGAATGAGAGGTAAACCCGCTGTATAGAAGAATGAGAGGTAAACCCGCTGTATAGAAGAATGAGAGGTAAACCCGCACACATTGAAATGTAACGTGTGACGATGATGAGCAGTTTGAGGACAAAAAAAGAGTGAAAAATAAATTCAATTAGCCGAGTATATTTTATATGGGCGAGTATTATTTTGTATTCATTGTAAATACCGAATATTGGTCGATAAAATAAAGAATACACCGCTCGTAGAAGCGCTAAAATAGGATTTTTTACCTGGAAAAATATGGCGAATAGCAGAGGCAGCGCGCTCAGAATTGTGAGGCCACCAAGCTTTGAAAATCTGCAGAGTGAAGAAAATGATTTTATTTCCTAGTCAGGCTGGTCACTGTCAAACAAGACTAACTTGGTAGCAGGAAAATCTTTGCAGAACTTGTCATGCTGAACAATTTCATCAAAGTCGATGAAAAACGGACAGAGAGACAAACCAAAAACTAAATTTATCACGATAAAATGAGATTTATGTTTTTCCATAAATGCATATGAACCATGCTATGAGCCACTGACCAAAGTTAACATAAAAGTTTAAGGAACTTAACAAGATGCTGTGTACGGACCTGTGGTAAGACGTGAACGACCAGGTGAGCGACACGAGGGAAATGAGGACCGAGAACACCTGCTTGCCCAGCCTCGTCTCCTGGCCATCCGACGACAGCGTCAGTATGGCACCTAACGTCACCTCCCGCACCTGTACACGTCATAAAGCAACATTTGATAAGAGCTCACGACGTCACTATGGCACCTAACGTCACCTCCCGCACCTGTACACGTCATAAAGCAACATTTGATGAGAGCTCACGACGTCACTAGGGCACCTAACGTCACCTCCCGCACCTGTACACGTCATAAAGCAACATTTGATGAGAGCCCACGGCGTCAGTATGGCACCTAACGTCACCTCCCGCACCTGTACACGTCATAAAACAACATTTGATGAGAGCCCACGGCGTCAGTATGGCACCTAACGTCACCTCCCGCACCTGTACACGTCATAAAACAACATTTGATGAGAGCCCACGGCGTCAGTATGGCACCTAACGTCACCTCCCGCACCTGTACACGTCATAAAACAACATTTGATGAGAGCTCACGGCTCTTAGTCATTCTGGAATACTGTGGCGTCAGTTTCACCGTCAGATATTTAGTCATAATTTGATCACAAGTGATTAGAAACATCAAAAAACTCTCGCTTTAAAATTTAGAAAATGAAAAACGGTATTTCAAAGGTGAACAATTATTCACTTATCAAGAAAGGCTCACGACATGGAGATGATTCATTCAATGAATCACAATAACAAGTGCAACTGACACTAAGACGATTTTTCTGCTAAAGACTAATATTAGTATGAATACATGCGGTGTAGGACCAGAGAGCACATCAATAATACGGGGACCTTGACGAGGTCCGTGTAGTGAGTGCCGACGATGTAGAGCTGCAGGATGAGCTGGAAGGCGGACTCCAAGGTAGCCTCCATGACGTTGGTGATGGCAACCCTCATCTGAGCTACGTGCTTCAGATCGTAGTACTTCCTGATCTTCTGGTCCCTGGTGTGGTGGCGGTAGGTCTTGGTGGTACCAGCTGTGTTGCTCTCAGCTCTGGTGTTGTTGGTGTTGCTCGAGTTGTTCTGCTGCCCAGGCAAGTTGTTGAACGACTTGCTCCCGTCCACCTGCTGCGGTATAAACACCAAACACACCCTCCATCACATCACGCTGCCTCCATAAAATCTAACGAGGCGTTAACATCGTCAGACTTTTTTTGAACACTGACTTCTTCATTTAACAATATATATTCAATTCAGAGTAGTTCTCCGACATCAATCTGAAAAACTGGGCGTTGCCACCTTTCACAAGACCGTAAAGTAAATACATTTTCTAATTACTAGTCCTACATTACCATAAAAATCCCACGCATTTAGTGGTCGTAATTTGCCAGAAACGAGTTTTTAGTATTGTATCTAAGATGCAACACATTACAACATTCGCATATCGTTCTTTAAACGTCCTCGATATGCTAATCATTTTACAATGAACAAAGATTCAACATCATACGTTACTAATACTACACTGAAAACTTGGTCTTGCACGTAAAAGGTACACGGCCACTAGAAGGCGCCAATTCGTTCAGGCACGATATTGAAGGTCAATATAAAAATATTGTAACCTATTAGAACTGAAGTGTGGCACGTATATTCTTGTGTATCCTATCACTTTGGTGCCAAGTTTGTAGAATTGACTTGAAAGTGTGAAAATATTTCACGAACTCATTTAATCGCCAGATCAACCAGGAATAAAAAATAAGGTAAGCTTTAATGTAAAATATTAAACTTAACTTCTCAAAGATACCATTGTAATTATGAGAATATAAAGGATGTTTTACCACAGCATTAAATTCGCTTACCCAAATTCGCTTTAATAGTGCGATCGCTACCTAATAAATTCTGATACCTCGTAATAAATGAAGCTCTGATAGCTCACAATATTACGCGGACGAACAATGCACAAAAGGTTGTCCAAGCCTCACCTCCTGCATCTGCCTGGAGGTGACGTTCATGTGCTTCATCTGCGCGTAGGTGTTCTCCAGGTAAACGATGATGGGCGCAAGCGGCGTGAGAAACACCAGCACGTACAACTGTGCCGACATTCAATTTTAATTCATTATCTTTCGGATGACTGACCTATTACGTCTTTGATAAAATATGGCTCGTGTGATTGTATGGGGCTCGTGTGATTGTATGGGGTTCGTGCAAGTGACAAATTGCGGACAGGTGCCTAAGGGCTATTCGAGCGGGTATCAGGGATACTCATCAGGATATTACTCAGTCCTGAAATTTCAATTTTTGGGTGATATCACATGACGATGTAAAGACGAGGCTTCGCTTGATGAACAAAAACTTAACCTAAGTGAATTTGAGTTCTAAAAACGAACTAAATGAATAATTGAATGTAGTTATGGAAAAACTGCAATTTCTCAATTTAAAATGGGAGTTAAATGAGAGTAGCTTTTTGGGGGGGGAGTACTTTGAACGTGTGATTCTTTAATTTACATGACTTCAATTCTAAAATAAATATAAGATTAGATGACAAGATTTGAAAAAGTGATGTTTAAAGGCATGTTCTCACCAAGAGCCTGAGTACGGAAGGCATATTCTTGAAGATGGGCAAGATGTCAGCCTGAGTGACGTGGATGTAGAGCGACCACAGCGACAGCAGCGTCGTCGGCAGTAAGATGAAGAACACCGTCAGCACGAAGTTCGTCTTGTCTTGGTTCTCCACAAAATTTTCAAACATGTGCATCAAACTTTGCTGAAATAGAAATAGGATACAGTGAACGGTTTTTTTCTAGAGGCTTGTTTTTAAACAACGTAAATTAAAGACCTACAATTGGCACACTTCGAAAATATTATAATCTAACACTGGAAAGAATAATACCACGATAATTTTCTACCAAAACAATTAGAAATAAGTTGATAGCTGATATAAACTCACATCTTCGGATATTTCGGTGGAATTTGCATTCTTGAAGTCCTTGTAGTATTCGACTGCCAGGAGGATGTCTGTGTAGACGTCGAGGTAATAAAATACGGAGGGCACCAGGAAACACGATAGAAAGAACCAGAAGTTCCAACAGTGCTGCTGGGCGGGCGTTGACTCGTACATGGCCTGGCAAGAAACGCTCACTCTCAACAGAAAGTTCAAATTCAAATTGTCCGTAGTTAAAAAAACCTGTATATTAAATAAGTTCCAGCCTTCCTACGAGGCAAAATACTTCTGGGATGTGTGTGATACAAGGCCATTCAGGCGTCAGAATTTTGACTCACGTCCACAGCTACCACACAAACGATGGGCGTAACATTAGATTTAACTTCTAACATGTTCATGGCATTTGACTAAACTTCGACACATCAACGAAGAATTCGGCGAAACTTCAAGACATGTTCATGATATCTGAATACAGGCCAACAGCTCCTCAACAGCAACTGGCTCCTCACCTGCAGCTGGCTTACCTGCAGCTGGCTCCTCACCTGCAGCTGGCTCCTCACCTGCAGCTGGCTCCTCACCTGCAGCTGGCTCACCTGCAGCTGGCTCACCTGCAGCCGGCTCACCTGCAGCCGGCTCACCTGCAGCTGGCTCACCTGCAGCCGGCTCACCTGCAGCTGGCTCACCTGCAGCTGGCTCACCTGCAGCTGGCTCCTCACCTGCAGCTGGCTCACCTGCAGCTGGCTCCTCACCTGCAGCTGGCTCACCTGCAGCTGGCTCACCTGCAGCTGGCTCCTGGCCTTCGTGGAGGCCTCTGTGGTGCCGAGTTGCACTCGTAGGCACATCTCAGCGCTGGCCTTGGTGGCGTGCAGCAGCTGCTCGCACTCCAACACTCGCACCAGAGCATTGTCAAACTATGGGCGATATATTTAATTAGATAACATTGTCAAACTAAAGGCATCATTTTCAATTAGTTAAGATTGTCAAACTAAACTCGTGATTTTCAATTAGTTAACATTGTCAAACTAAAGGCATGATATTAAATTAGTTAGCACTGTCAAACTAATAACACATACGATTTAACTAAATTAGCTCACGGTACACATTAACTAACTTCATTCAATGTTCTCACTCATTAAAATGGCTTTATGGAAGATCATCCCCCGATAAATGGATGTTATCAACGGAAATATGAATTCAGTTTTCTACTCAACACTAGCTAGTTAAACCAAATAGCTTGTGTGGGGTTTCTTGGAACTTAAATTAAAGTTTAAATAAATCCCGTAGCTCACCTGACCCAGGTTGTTTCTCTCTGTGAAGAACTGCAGGAGCGTCTCGTGGTTGGTTGCCTTCACGTGAACTTTCTCCACCAGACTGTACTCAAGGAACCGCTGCACGATGTCATATCTGGAGATAACAAAACTTTAGATTTTGATTGTACAAAAAGAAACGCACAGAAAGGGCACATCCTGGAGCTTTTCATCGTTTTAATCTATGCTTGCAGAGTTATTGTTAGCAATTATATTTTCCGTACGATACGCATATAAAAGATCAATCGTTCACACTCGGGACGGGTTGACACTCGTTCCTCAGCTCACCTGCTGGCATTGATGGCATAATACACAGGAGTATAGCCGATGTTATCGCACTTGTTGATATCAATAATACGTTCTCCACTCTCGCTTGAGGTGAGCAGCATGTCCACCACGGTCACGTTGCCCATCTTAGCCGCGACGTGCAGAGCCGAGCCGCCCCTGTTGTCGGTGCGGCTGAGTTTCGTGCCGGCGTTCAGGAGCTGCTGTACGCATGCAAGCTGGTTGTTCTTGATCGCGATGAAGAGGGGCGTCTCGCCCTGGTTGTTGGGTATGTCCGGGTTCACCTGAACAAAGAAATAATAAATCACGAAACATGCCATAAAATTTTGACTAGTCATTACGAGGCTATTGACGAGAGGACGTCGATCACGAAGAGGTAGGACAGGAAATCAAGTTCTCCTTGATTAAAGGAAATTGCTGGTGCAATTTTTAGGCGCATTAGCTCGTCAGTTATTTTTAATGAACTTTTCTTGCAATTAGTACTAGAAGCTGATCAAGCGACATAAATGATACAAATATATTCTATACGAGATGTTTAACCTATTTGTGCAAAACAAAACAGTACAGCGTACTTGGTAACCAGCAAATTAAGAAGTTGCTCATTACATTCAAATAGACTTTACCACCAGTGCAAGTGATTCGTTATATCATTACAAGAAGTCTACACAAATTCTATCCATTGACAAAGATACTTCACAAAAACCAGACCTTGAGAGAAACAAGTGCATGCGTCATGTTAGGGTAGCCCTTCTGAGCGGCAAGGTGCAGCAGCGAGAAGCCGTCAGGGCGGCAGGCAGTGAGTTCACAAACGCCCGTATCTTTGATGCACTTCACGATGCACAGGCCCACTTCTTCACTGGGAATGTGCGCCCAGTTTTTGTCTGCACAAACAAATAAATTATATTTATTCCCCATTCAGTATAAATAATTAAATAGTGGCTATTGAACACTAATAGTTTTCAATAGCAGCTATTGAACACTATTTGAAAGTGTTCAATAGTGTTTAATAATAGTGTTCAATAGCCACTATTGAACACTATTGAATACTTTCAAATAGTGATCAACAGTGTTCAATACTGGATAAAGGCGGGTGAAACGCTGTCCTCATAACTTGAACTACACGATAAAATTTCATATTCATGAAATAAACTGAGGCTAACTCACCAAAACGATTGAAAATAAAACTATATTTTAAATCCTTTCAAATAAAAACAACCTGCTCGATATTGATGGCTTACGACACACTCACCCTCATCAGTGAGCTGGAGCTTCTCATGTTGCAGCAGAGCGACTATGTTGCTGTGTCCCGCCCACATGGTCACGCCCAGAGGAGTGCGGCCGAGCGAGTCCCGGGCATCAACCTATGGCACTCTTATCCTTTAGTTCATCATCTACTTTAAAACTTAGCTGGATAACTGCATTATAATGACCAGAACCACTAGTTCGCTTGATAGGTGTAGTATTACTAGTAAAAAAAATATACGAATTGATAGGAAAAATAGAATATAAACAAGTCACCGCACTAATCAAACGCTGTCATCACGTGTTATAAACAAAATTCTTTGCCTAAGAAGGAAAACCTTGTAGAAAACGCAATATCAGATTGGTTTCTAATTAACCAAAGCTATATTCACTAAGTGCCTTTGGAACTTAAAACAACAATAAACGTCGTACGAATTCAATCCTCAAGATCATTGATCATCATTTCAAGTAGCGCTACAGAAAAAAGATAAAAGGCCGCCTAAGAACAAACGTAAGGCACTTAGCGCAGCGCGAATCGACATTTTTCAAACTCATTTTCTCCAGGCCACGTCGAGATGAAATACAGCATTTTACGTGCCCACTTGAGCCCACGTGATACACGTGTCCTCCTTGTGCTCACGTGATACACGTGCTCACCTTGAGCATACGTGATACACGTGCTCACCTTGTGCCCACGTGATACACGTGCCCAACTTGTGCCCACGCTACACATGCCCACCTTGTGCCCACGTGATACACGTGCCCACCTTGTGCCCACGTGATACACGTGCCCACCTTGTGCCCACGTGATACACGTGTCCACCTTGTGCCCACGTGATACACGTGCCCACCTTGTGCCCACGTGATACACGTGCCCACCTCATGCCCTGTCTCTTATACACATCTAGATGTGTATAAGAGACAGCGCTACACGTGCCCACCTCATGCCCAAGCTACACGTGCCCACCTCATGCCCAAGCTACACGTGCCCACCTCATGCCCACGCTACACGTGCCCACCTTGAGGCCACGCGCGAGGAGGTCGCCGACGATGTCATGGTGTCCCCGGGACGCGGCCCAGTGCAGGAGCGTGGAGCCCTCAAGGAACTTGATGAAAGGCTCGACCCTCTCGAACACGCGCTCTTGGCCTTTGAATCATGCAGGGCATCAAGGAACACTAGGTTAGTTGGCTAGTGCAACACGGCTACAACTCTCACTAGTGAAGCGCCCTGAAGTGTCAATTTGTCAGGAATTCTCGTGATAAATTCGAGAATAAATCGTTCGCGGAACTTTTGACCTAGACCTACACTGAATATTATGAATGATGATATCAAATGTATACGATTTATAAATAAATCTGTAAGTCTTTATTGATCTATGCATAAATAGACGCTATAATACATAGATGCATCGTATACACGCTACTGCTTATCCAAGTACGAGAATAATCATAATTTAGTTACGTAGTAAGCTATCAATTAATCTTCCGAATAAATGACAAATTGGAATAGAAACCACAGTAAGGCGTGGCCGAATTATCGAAATATCGAAACTTCAGAGTTTTCTAAAAATATTTCAATAATATTTCCATGACACAACATTTCAGCGTTTTCATTTACAGCTACAAAACAAGTTTACAGACTACATATTTGACAAAGCATCGCACCAAAATTTCTTGAAGAGAAGTCAGATCAAACGTAACTAATAAAATTTGGTAGCACAAATGGTTTAATTGCAACAATAGGAATGCAGGCCTATCTTATAATAAGCTAGATAACTGGAGCAGCAGACTAGCTACAGAACGCCGCTAATACTATAGCACTCTTGCAGCACACAATTAGTGTTAGTTTATCAACTGCGCACAGCAATGAGCAGTACTTGCATCAAGGCCATTATTATAACGTTAATTGCTATTATTGTTTATTACGTTACAAACACTAATAAGTAAAAAAAATTGAACACGGCTTCTAATTTCGTTTTTCACATTTATCTTTGTTATTCTGGCAATCGTAGATGAATATCGATATGAAAAATCGACTTGGCAAACTTGTGCCGATTTCACGTCGTATACAGGAGGACACAAAGCGCTGCTCTGCGCCCGTGATCGTTATCAATAATGATCATTTGAACACATAATTTAGCTAAATCCTATGGAATCATTATAGATCAATTATCTTGCATAAGATAATAGTCAATAGACTAGTACAACCTCAATAATGATCATTTGAACACATAAATTAGGCTAAATTCTACGGAATCACTAGAGATCAATTATCTTCCAGGGGATAATAATAGACTAGTACCACCTCAAGGCACAGCAACCAAATGTTAAACGCAAGAGAATAAAGAATAAAATCACGCTATGAAGATTAAATGAGTCCGGAAATTAGTTATTGTATCACACAGACCAGGCAAGATGGAGAAAGGAAAGAAACCCATTCCATTAACTGCCGATTAAATTACAATATATTATTTCATTTATTACTATAATAATTTTTAAGAAATGTATTTAGAATATAGAACGTGCATTGATTAGGAAGGACCGCGCAATACCTGCTTAGGCTGCTCACATAGAGTTTTGTATCGTCAAACGTACTTAGTCAAATTGTAACAGTTTTGTGATTTCTGAAGACAAATGCTATTAAAAATTGTGTGATTTTTGAAGACAAATGCTTATAAAAGTTGTGTGATTTTTGAAGAAAAATGTTATAACAAAAGTTGTTTGATTTTTGAAGACAAATGCTAATGAAAGTTGTGTGATTTTTTAAGACAAATACCAATAAAAGTTGTGTGATTTTTGAAGGCAAATGCTAATAAAATTGTGTGACTTTTTAAGACAAATACCAGTAAAAGTTGTGCGATTTTGGAAGACAAATGCTAATAATATTTATTTTTAACACAAATGCTAAAGAAGACTGACACGTTTCGTTAAGCTCTCTCCACTGAAGAAGTTCTTGAAGGTTACCATTAGTAAGTGACGGCTGAATGCAGATGCAAGTGACTATAAATTTCAATAAGGAAAATTCTAAAGGATACGAAGAAATATCGAATTAAATTCAATATCCTAATATCGGGCAAATGAATGTAGGACGCTTGCAGCGCGTAATGAATTTCTTTGCAGGAGCAGCGTCTACAAATTACAGTATCATGACTGCGACTAGTGAGATGTGCAGAGGCTTATATTCTTATAATAACAAACTGTCAGCTTTATAATCTAATGTCAGTTCAGTATCATTTTAATCAACTGAAATGTTCAGATAACTTCAATTAAGATGGAATGTATGTTTTTTAAATGCTTTGGAGCACAGGTCAAATATGGCGCGATTTCTCCATACGAGAATTAATACGTTTTTCAAGAGTAATCAATCTTCCTTAAGAAGTGAGTGTGGAAGAGACCATCGTCTAGTCAATTTAACACGAAAATAATTATGACAAACGTCATCGAAATAGATATCAGTGCGGGAAATTATAAACGACTGAAGTTCAAACTTGGAAACAAGAAGCCACTTTTGATGTTATACGGCAAATAGTGTTAATACATTTTAGTACCATCATCAGTCAGCCAAAAAAATTTTAGCCAGCCACAAGACAAGCAAGATGAGTTCAGCCACGAAGACAGTTACGGAAGTCAATTCTGGCGCAGCACATCATCCACTTACAGAATACGTCCGGGGACGAGTGTGGCGACAAGGGGTAATCTGTGCATAAAGAGTCGTTGAACAATCCCAGGTCCCCAAGCGTTGAGGTTGGAGTTGGGGGAACGTGAGACGCAAAGGGGGACACGGGAGGTGAACCGCGAGGAGAGTTGGGAGGGGATCCTGACAGCGAGAACTTCGGTCTGGTCCTTATGAACGAACAAGGAAGAGACTCGGGGTACTTATGGCTAGCGAGGGAGGGGGGCGGTGAGCTGTTGTGGGGGTCAGACAGCAATCGCTGAGGAGAAGACCTCACTGATATCGAATGCTGGCTTCCTCGCAGGAGTATTGGGCTGCCAGGCAACGATTTATTACCAGACACGCGTTTGAAATACGGAAGTCCGTGATCAGCAGATCGCTTCACTTGGTCTGGCTGATTTTGCAAACGAGTTTTCCGTTTCTTTGAAGAAGATTTTTGAGAGATGGCTGGGTCGTCCTCTGTACCGGTCAGCGTGGTGCTCAAAGTCGTGTCAGAAGCAGATGTTGTAAGTCCAAGCGTCGCAGTGGAAGTCAAAGGTCTAATGATCGACCCGACAGCATCGTTTGAAGCAGTACTTTTACCGACACGATACTTGTCACAAGCTTCAGACCAGGCAGAAAATCGGTCAGCTTTGAGGCCTTTCCATGAGATGAAGTCAGATTCTTTCATACTGCGTTCCTTTTTCACCTTTGAAGCTTGTCTGAAACTTGAGCTTTTCAGTAATGCCTGACGTCCAGGACCAACGGGACCCTGCAGAGGCGGGAGTTTCTTCTCAGAGCCAGGCCTAGACGTCGATTTATTGCCCAGCGTTGAAATCTTTTTATCACGGCTGATGTCACGGACAAACGCGACAGGTTGTGTCAGCTCTGAACCACTGCAACGCCTCATATTGAGGCAGTGAGCTTTGGCCGCAGGCAGCTCTCTCAAGTCAGGCTTCTGGATCAAGGGACTCCAGCACCGGCGGCGGCGGTTGGATGGAATGAGGCGCTCTAAAGAACCCGTGTACGCTGACCCGGCGCTGCCTGCTACTCTGGATGTCCAGATTTGGTCAGCGGAATGCCGCAAAGGTCGGCGGGATGGCGCTGCTCAGTTCAGAGAATTCGACAACATCTAGAGTATCTGATGATGTTTACTCCCAACGGCTTAACAGTCGTTGCAGCGAAAGACCAAAAGGAACTATTGATACAAGATTCAAAATTCTTGAATCAAAAGACGAAGCAGTCTTGCAGCAATATTTCTTACAAAAGAAGCCGGCGGTTACAACAGATTAGACACGTTCAACATTTCAATAAATTCATCAAGTTAAATCAAAGGTGGTGAAATGAGTACTGAAAAGTCAAACCAACATAAAAAATTATATATTAGCCGTAGAATCAAATACGGCGAGATATCAGATCCCACATTCAGAGCCGCAGCTCCTGAAATGAAAAGCGCGCGTTGACTCCCACATAGAGAGCTGAACACTCATGGTCCAGCTATACGCAACTATTACACATAATTTCACTTCAGAAATATGGTCGATTTATATGAGTTGACTTGGGAAAATGTTTTATGGAGCGATCACCCGACATGACACCTTTTTGAATCTTGCGTACGTAATAATAATTGCTCAAATGCAGTTATAGCTTCTGGTCTAAGCAAGTCCAAAGCAGCAATAAAATTGAAGCTTAAGATAGCACAAGCCAGCAATGAACAAATCATACTTCAAGACAAGCTAAGCAATATTCGCTCTGGTTTACAGAGCTAACGACGCAATCAAATTGAGCGCCGAGACGCACAACGTGTCACAAAGCGCACATGACGGCAACCAAGACAATACCTTCCACGACAAACGGATGCTCCACGACGTGGCAAGGATGAACTGCAACGCTAGACGACAAATCCCGGGCTACAAACCTCGGTCGTTTCTTAAAGGATTTCCATCTCCTAGACCGACTATCTTCCCTGCCATCGATCACTTCTGGAGGTGTTCAGACCATCAACTAATGCGTTATGACTCACAAAATTGTACATGTGTGCTGAAGTAATTTTCAAATCAGGAACCATAGCATACTAGGGCTAGTCGAAAATTTGGTGTTATTTGTACAAATACTTTCCATAAATTCCAGGCAGCTGTTTATAGTCAATTTCATATGAAAAATTTTAAGAAAAATAAATAAACTATTGAGCTAAAAGAGTGAACTCTGACGGACACGACAGAAAATACACGAATAATCGAGATGATGGACTGAGTTTAGCTTAAACTTTTAAAATAAGTAAATTTAAACAAAATTTTTCATTAACAGAGCAAAAAATTTAAAAGAAGTGTTCATCACAAATATGTTAGGGATATCACCCGTGCTCAGTTCAAATAAAGATATTGTAGTGAGATGATAAAAAAGTAAGATGATAAAGCTGTAAGAGAGATAATAAAGTACAAGATAATAGTAAGTATGTGATGACTTACTAGTGCCGGCATTGATGACGTTAAGCTTAGGGTTAGCCTTGTGCTCCATGAGGAGCCTGAAGAGGCCGAGGTTGTCCTTCTTGGCGGCGACGTGGAGGGCGGTGACGCCGTGCGGGTCCGTGATGTTGACGTCGGCCCCCGCCTGCAGCAGCACCTCGCATGCCCGTACACGGCTCTCGCACACCGCGTGGTGCAGGCTCGTCCAGTGGCCTGCGTCACGCATGTCGATTGCCAGGCTGCACAGCACGGGTATACAGTAATACAGTGAGGCACAGCACGGGGTATACAGTGAGGCACAGCATGGGTATACAGTAATACAGTGTGGCACAGCACGGGTATACAGTATTACAGTGAGGCACAGCACGGGTATACAGTAAAACAGTGAGGCACAGCACGGGTATACAGTAATACAGCGAGGCACAGCACGGGTATACAGTAATACAGTGTGGCACAGCATGGGTATACAGCATTACAGTGAGGCACAGCACGGGTATACAGTATTACAGTGAGGCACAGCATGGGTATACAGCAATACAGTGAGGCACAGCATGGGTATACAGTAATAGTGAGGCACAGCACGGATATGCAGCATTACAGTGAGGCACAGCACGGATATGCAGTATTTCAGCGAGGCACAGCACGGGGTATACAGTAATACAGTGAGGCACAGCACGGGTATACAGTAATACAGTGAGGCACAGCACGGATATACAGTATTACAGTGAGGCACAGCACGGGTATACAGTAATACACAGCACAGATATACAGTAATACAGTGAGGCACAACACGGATAATCAATGTCACAGCGTGTCACACAATTTGAAGTACTAGGCATCATCAGTGTTAGTCAGGCATAGCACCACACCTCACCTATTAGTGCTAGCACAGTCAGTTCCCGCAATGGCGGCTGTTATTGTCAGTTATTTAATAATAGCAATGCTAGTGTTGTGGTCTGTTATTTAACAGGAATGTTAATGTTGTGGTCTGTTATTTAATAGGTAATAAGTTCATAACATTATGATCCTTCATAGAGATTACAAGAGGAGGCAATCCAGCAGGCTACTGGACCTGACATTAGAGAAATACATTTATTTGTAGAAATTCCATAAGCAATTACAGGGAGCAGGTGAAACCATGCAAAATCTTCTCTGCAAACTTGACCCAGTTGAGTTAGACTTGACCCAGTTGAGTTAGACTTGATCCAGTTGAGTTAGACTTGACCCAGTTGAGTTAGACTTGATCCAGTTGAGTTAGACTTGACTCACTTGAGTTTAACCAAGTTTGCGTTGTTGCTGAGCAGGAAGGCAAGCACCGCGCAGCAGCCGTAGTGCGCAGCGAGATGCAACAGCGAGCACGTCACGCCTCGCACGCGCACCAGCGCCACGCACCGAGCGCCCCACTCGCCGTACCCCAGCAGCAGCTCCACCACCTGCAGCGGACAGGAAGAGGCTTACGAGAGGGAAGGGTTTACGGGGGGAGGGGCTTATGAAAATTGGGGCTTACGAGGGGGTGGGGCTTACGTAGAGGAGGGGCTTACAGGTGGAGAGGACCTCAGCAGTGGGAGGGGCTCACGAGCAGAGCAGAGGGGAGGGAAATGAAAGGTTCAATAAATAATGAAAGATAAATAAATAGTACACACAAACTCATCAACTGAAGTTCGTTACTCCAAAAAGTATGCTTGTAGATGACTATTATGCATAGTTTAACATGTATAGAGTGATAAAATTTGTAGATATTAACATGTTAAAGGCATTTCAGTGGTTCTATTGAAGTGGGAAAATATTCATAGAGGTAGAGCCAAAAATTTTATAAAAAACATTCTCAAATAAAAATGTGTTCATAAATTACAATAACATAGTATTTTCTTTTTGGATAGCTAGTAAATAAATAATCTCTTAATGCTGTTTATATACAAACGTTTTTCAAAAGATACCTTGACTCTGTCTTTGTAGGCAGCATAATGAATGGCCTGCCATCCTGACTTGGCATCCTTGCAGTGAACGTCCACGCCAGCATCCAGCAGAACACGTGCCACCTCAATGTGACCTGAATGAGATGAATCCAGTTAACCCATTTAGATCTTTACAATTATCAGCAGGTTAAATCTGTGTAAAAATTCTGAGGAGAACATACTCTACAAATGGCTGATGTGTTTTTTCGAAAGCTATATGCAAAAGAATTAGGATTTTTAAAGTATATTCTGCAGGTCACAGTTGTTTTGAAAAGAATCTTTTTGTCAAAAGCCTTTCATGTTTCAGATTGAATTGACAAGCATTGTTAGATGGCAGAAGCACCTGATCGACAAGCAGCAAGGAGAGCATGATGCGCCTTCTTTCCATTGGGATCAAATGTGTGTTTGCTGCACATCTCCTTGATTGTTGCAGCATCACCACAGAGTGCAGCTCGTGTGAAGGGATGACCTGAGTCTGTATCATCAAGCCAATTTGCAAGGTCCACTAGATCTGGTGTCTCTTCCGGGGACCGACACAGGCTGCTGCCTTGTGGTGTCGGAAGCATCCGTGATGAAGATGCTATGGCAGTAAACCAGAGTTAATTGTGAAATAAATTGAAGGCCAGATCAATATCATGTCATTGATGTGCCACAAGCATACACAAAAGCAGACAGGCTAGGATAAAAAATATAGAATTTAAAATGGTTACTTACACTTAATTCAATAAAGGACTAACTCAATATTTTTATAGAATGGAAATTTTTACCCCAGCAGGACAATGTTATAATTATGAGATGTGAAGTGAGAATTAAAGGAATTTCTGATGTATGGCAAAGCAAGGTGTATATAGCACACAATTGCGAGTTGAGGCACTGAATAGTCATAGCCTGGAAGGTTCAAGGCAACTGCCTGAAACTTTCAATAATCATCATTTTCAAGTCACCCCAAGTAAAAAGTGTTGGAAAAATATGCAAAATGGCAACTATAAAGTAACATTAACTTGAAATTAAGTGCTATTAGGTTTGTATAACTGATGAGTGTAATAACACATAGTTTAATAACATAATATTGCACATAAAAGTTTTTTTCTGCATTCAGACACACCAAGAGTGAGCATGGGATGATATTTCTTACACATGAAAAAAAAATAATTTCAGAAAACAACACTGATTTAGTTTGACTAGGTTTTTCTCTTATTATGATCTACATACTAGATGGCTAAATAAAAATTTAGACTCAATTTACAGAGCAGATTTACTGATCAAGCAGAATTAAATTATATCACTCAGATCAATAAAAAACTAAGTGCACAAAGAATAAAAAAAAAGTAGATGAAGTTAAAATAAGCATTGGTCAGGTATAGGTACCTTATAAATAATAAACATGTCAGTGGCTTGATTACAAGTTTGAAAACCTGAACCTGATTTGGGTTAAACATGAATATATACACATGCGACTATTGAGAGATGAAGAATCCATGTTTCTCATCAAGAGCAAATAAAATTTAATTGCAAGCAACATACAGGGTGAAAAGGAAGTTGCTGCTTCAGTTTGAGCCGCAGCTGTAGCAACTGATGCTGCTGATACAGGAGGTGCAATAGCAAGGGAACGAGGTGCTGTCGACGACACAATACTGTTGCTAGGCATAGGTGCAGGTAAGAGTGGTGCAGCGCAACTTTCACTCTCAGCTTGGAAGACCGTCTCACCACTGTTGAGGTCTCTGTCCCTGTTGTCTAGAGCCTCACGACTGCTATCTGGGTCAACAGTGAGCAAAGCAACAAGTAATTTACAATATCTTCATGCCTTAGAGTTCTATGCCATGAATGAATTTTATCAGGGCTAGTGGAAGTAATCAATGTCAAGTTATATATACAAGGAAGAAAGAAAACTATTTATAGCAACTCATCATGTTAGACTTCAACTAGGGGCAATATGATGAAAAAGTAATAAGATGAAATGTTAAATAAATCAGTGCTTCTAACAATAGCTAGCACAACATAATGAAAAAAATAGGGTTAAGTTGCTATTAAAGTGGAGCTTCAATTAAATTATTCAACTCCAATATAGAGACCTGATACTCATGATACACATCATAGTTGGAAAATGTGAAAGGATTCAAAATATTCAAGAACTAAAGTGTGTAGAGCACCAAAGTAAATAAATGGAATTTATGAAATACAACACAATTTCACAGCTGAAATAATCAAAATTTCAAAATGAGCAGATAGCACTGAACATAAGAGGATTGTAATATTATTTTATTTTAATTATATTTGCAAGCTGATATATTTTAAGATATTACAAAAATTACTGGGAAAACCTAGTCAATCTGTCCTGCCATCTGACTAGGTAGGTACATAAGGACAAGTATATAATACTACAAGAATTCAACTTGATAAATCAAATTTGAATCATCAACCATAAAAGGCAGCAGTCTTTTAACGAATTTCCTATTGCCTTTTTGTTGATCAAAAACTCCTCTGACAAAATGTTATTGACCTACTAATTACAAGCCAGTGACGTAATTTGAGCATTGAAGACTATGCTTGGTTCAAGAATAATTTGGGAGTTCAGGGATGACATTCCAGGACACCAACTGAGTCTATGGTCCCATTTATTGCTTACTGATGAATTCTTCCATTAGGTATGTTCTAACTAGAAAGATTAGCAATAAATTGCTGACCAGTTGAAGTCAAAATGCAAGTGACAAGACATGAAACTGATATGGAAATACTTTCCCAACTCTTCCCAAGGGAAGGGTTCATTGCAATTAATTCAGTCTAAATTTGAATTAAAGAAGTATAACTACAGGTGAATGCTATTTCACAATATAGTTTGATACAGTTTCTAGACAAATAAATTAAAAATAAAACTCAGAAAGCTTACCTTGAGATGACATGGCCCTACTGAATATAAGCCTTGTGCGCAACTCCTGATCAGTGACAGAGAAATTGCTGTTGTTGCTTGTATTGCTGCGTGTGCGCCTGTGCTCCTGCTGTGACGCACTGTTCCTATTACTGCTGCAGTTGCTGTTGGCCCCACTGCCACCACCATTGGCGATGGGAGAGTAGCACTTGTAGTTTGCAGAGCCACTCATGGTGATATTAGTAGCAGCAGCAGTGAAATGTAGCTCCAGTTAATAATTACAGCTGGTTCTATGTTTAGTAAAGAGTTTGACAAAATAGAACTTGAGACTATAATTTTAGATTGTATCTCCATTTTCTCTAACACATTCACCACTAGTCATCTCAACATAATGCCTGTTGAAAATATCTAATTACATCACATGTATTGCAGAAATAACAATACATATTATGGATCAATACAGCAGAAGAAATCAATCAATGAAAATGTGAACACTGCAACTTAAGGCATCAACTATACATGTATCTTGAATACCATTAAGACCATACTATGGAGGTGTAATGAACAATTTAATTGTTTCATGGACACAACCGGCAGCCAGCAGGATCTAGAGACATTTATTCTTATAACAATTATAATTTTCCATTATAAAACAATGAAACTCAGCTGCCAGTCTTAAATGTACTCCCAAAATTTAGATTTGCTGACTGTGTGTATAAAACACACACTAAACTGAACTTGCCTAGTCAAAATGTCGTTGTAGAATCTGTCAAACTTGAGGAATAATTTTCAAGCAAGAGCCCTCTTAAATTTTTATAATATTACTTACATTTCATTGAAGATTTTTTATGCATTTCAAGATTTCAATTATCTTTTCAACTGTATTTTTTGCAAACTATTCCTCAAAAAAATATGATATTGTGTAATTTCTGCCACCACAGTACAAGGCACTTTAGACACTGGCTGCCAAGAAACACCTTCATGCCACACAAGAAAGTAAACTGTTGGTCACAAATGACACTCCAATGTTTTTTGTACAATGCTGATAGTTCAAAGATCATTGATCTAATAAAGAGTTACCTCAAATAATGCAGAAGTTACATTCCAAGACATCACACTAGTATATTCTTATTTGAGAAGCAACTTATTCATTTTGGTAAGGTAATTTTTACATTCATTTTAGAGCATTTTAGTATATAATGCTTTTTAAATATTAGCACAATCTTTCAATTATGGCACATTTCATTATTCATTTGCCTTATTTCATTTGCATTTCATTCTTCTTTTGACAACTTATCAGTCATCACTCTATATTGAACTTAAGGATACCCTATGTATATGCCTATCACATCCAGAATCAAACTGTCATGGGTACTGCTTACCAGAATACAAGTGTCACTAAGGAATAGAGAGCTGTGATTTTTATAATGCTGGTAACTTATTTTCATTATATTGTGAATATCACAACATATATGACATCAGTTTAGAAATGCATGCTAATAATAAATGTGATGTTGCTACTTGTTGAATCACAAAATTAGTCCCACTGTTGCATCCAAATAATTTTCCAGGATGCTCTGGTAGTTTGCAGCATTCATCCTACCATCTATAAGTGATATGTTACCAACACCTTTTGCGGAGAAACAGCCCCAGATCATGTGATAACGATCCTAAGCATACTGCAAGATCCACAAAGAAATGGTTTGCTGATAGAAATGTACACGTTATGGAATGGCCAAGCCAGTCGCCGGACTTAAATCCGATTGAAAATTTGTGACGGTATTTGAAGATTCAAATTAAGAAAAGGTCCCCAACAAACATTGAGAATCTTAAGGTGGTGTGCCAAGAAGAATGGTATAAAATACCAGTCAGCATCTGCAAATCATTGGTCAAGACGTATAGAAATAGACTGGCATCTGTTGAGCTGAATAAAAGGGTATTCAACCAAGTATTAAATTAAAATAATGCGGATTTATTGTTTTGTACGAATACTTTTTTCACCCGAAAAGTGAACATGTTGCATTGTTTTTTGTTGCATTGAGATTTAATTTCTTTTGATAGTAGTATTTTTGAATACTATGCATCTCTATACATAATATAAATCACTTCTCCTGTTCAGTTTGTGTACTTACATACATTAAAATACAATTTTTCAAGTGTACGAATATTTATTTCCCCCACTGTATTTAAATGACAATGATCATATTGTTTGGAAAAATAAATCATAGTTTAGGTCAATTACTTTTCATGCTATGTTGCCCGGTGCACAATTCTATATGACAGTGGTTCCCAAAGTGGGCAATATCGCCCCCCTAGGGGCGGTGGAAAGATTTTGTGGGCAGTAAGGAAGAAGGCAGTAGAGGGGCGATAGGAGGGGGGGCGGTAGTCCGAAGTCAACAATGTCAGAAGTTCGAACGTTTGTTTGACAATTTGTATACAACATGTGCAGCACATACTCCCAGCGTGGGGTTTACTCCTGGGTTTACATCTCAGGCAAATTAACAGCCGGTCTCACGGCCAATTTCCAAATTCAATGATCAAGGAATATCTCTCAAACTAATAAACTCAAATCAATGAAACTTGGTAAACGTATTCATTAGGACGTAGCGATAATGTTTTGCTTGTGAAAATTGTTTGAATTTTGCCATCGTTCATTTTGCCATAGTTATATGGCAATACGGGCCAAAATTCACAGCAATCAAGTTATTTCTTCCAAACAAATGAGCAGATTCGAATGAAATTTTGAATTTACTGTCTTAACTACCGAACGGCAATGTTTAGCTTGCGAAAATTTTCTCAATTGTGCATTCGTTTGAGAGTTTTTTTTCATTTTACCTTTATTCGTGATTTAAACAGCAATACATGCTCAAATTCACAGTAATCAAGAAATTTTTATTTAAAAATGTATTTTACAAAATTTAGTATTTAAATACCTAACCTCAGCAACGGTAATGTTTACAATTTTTTCATTTTGCCTTCGTTTGCAGGTTATATGGCTATACATATAAGGCTCATGGTTAAACCGGCCGGTAGAAAAGCCGGTCATTCCTCCTATATCTGTATAACTTGCGAACGAAAGTAAAATAGAAAAAATTGTCACAAGCTAAACATCACCGTTGAGAGGCTAGGTACGGTATTTATATATAAAGTTTTGTTGAAATCTGTTCTGTAGTTTAGAAGAAATATCTTGATTGCCGCGAATTTAAGTGACAAATTACCTGGCAATACGGGGCGAATATAAGGAAGTGTGAAATCAAGAATGACAGTGAAAAGAAAAAAAAAATTGCAAATGGAGGTAAAATAAAAAACTTCAAATCTGTTCAATAGTTTCTAAACATCACCGTTAGGTTCTGATGAAGAAGTGTTCCAAGTTTCATAGAGCTGTGTTTACTAGTTTGGGAGATATTACTTGATAATTGAATTAGGAGATTGGTCGTGAGACCGGCTTTGAGTCCGGCCGTAAATTCACCCAAGACCCCCTAAGTTTCTAGTGCTGAAACAGTTAAAACAGCTGAAAAACAATGGTTGACTAAATGGGGTTCTACTTGTGAAATACACATTTGATGATTTGTGTTTAACCTTTATCTTTTAAAATTACAGCGTACTAAATTTCAAGAAAGAGGAGTATGTCTGTGGGGGGCGCTAAAAATTCACAAGGGAGCCAAGGGGGCACCAGCCTGAAAAAGTTTGGGAACCACAGACCACTGCTATATGACATTCTATGCACAATTTTGTGATGACCAATGATGCATTAATTTTTCATTAAGGGGAGCCTCTGGGGCAAATTTTATCTAGGTTATTTACAGATGGATCACATTGAAACTTGGTACACATATGTTAAACAGAAAAATAGGACTCTTTTATTCACGTAAATTTTTTGAAAAATTAAATAAAACCTGAATTCTTAAAACACGAAAACATGAAAAACAAAATCTCCTCCTAGGATTTTCCAGCTACAACATCGAGACGCATATCATTTGATGCATAAAGAGAACTAAAGACCACATTGATCGATTGGTCATAGCTTTTTCTGAAATTCTCATTTGTGTGGGTGGGGGGACGTTTTTGTAAATTTTTTGATGATTATTGTTAATTGATTTTTTTGTCAACTGAGCCTTTGCTAATTGAGGCTCTACTGTAGTAAATGCGTTTTTAGGTGTGTGCCTTATTACCCCGGGGGATTTTCCCTTATTAGTACCCTGTCTTGCAGAAACGGCCACCATTTTTTTTTAATGAGATAAGCAAATTCAGTTAAGAATGTTTTTAAGCCAAAACCTGTGTGCAGCTTTTATGTAAGTAAAATTTTTTATTATTGCAAGAATTTTTTGCTACAGACCTTAGCAGAGGCACTTTTCCAATATCTCACTTTTTACACTTTTTTTCAGAGATTTTTTAGTGGTAGTAAATGTACGATTTCTTAACTTACTTTAAGCTAGTACCACTGTGCAGAGAGTGGATGAATATTGCAAGACCTTTGGCGACGCTTCAGTATCAAAATTTACGCCTTCAGAAGATCTTGCCGACATACTTAGATTGAAATTCTTGCATTTAATATATTTGTCAGTCTTTGGCCAACTATTTAGAAAAAAGTAAGGTTTCCAGTACGTTCGATGGATCAGGATGCAGTAAAGCTTGTCTGGAAATCAGTTGCAATGAGTTCCTGCCAAAAAAAAATGTAAACAAAATGTAGTTGCGGTCACATTAGAGCAGTCAGACTGCATCATCACATGTTCAGTTATTTGGGGTAACACGTGCAAGCAACCTAGTAAATAAGTTCATGGCTTGTAAATAACTTTTCATTACTCAGCATAAATGGCTTTTCATTAAAAATTACCCAGCGAACCATCTTGACCACACTCAGGATTATGTATGTTTTCAGGGAATTTTCCCGCGAATTTTGACTTTTTTTAAGCCATTGCTGCGCACACTTGGCGCAACTTCTGGCCATCCCCGCTTGCGCGCGCATGCGTTGGCACAGGCCACAGCGCACACATGCATTTTGTCAAGGGACAATAGACAGAAAACGTATAATACTCAATATGTGTTTAATTATCCATCAATAATCTATGACTTTCCTTGATATGGAAATTTTGTTAAAGTAAAAATCTAGAAATTTATTTTCGAAGAAATTTTCTACAAATTTCATATACGAACCAACGAACATCATTTGTTTACCTTCCGTAGATCATCCAGACATGAGGCAATATTCAGTCCGGACGTGAGGCAAGTGGTGAATAACCAAGTCCTCAGAAATTGGGCACATGAAGTAAACAAATATTAGTGTTAAATGACAGATTTTGCTTATTCTATGTATACTATTAGTGCGCTGATAGGGTTATCAAAGATTCTACGGTTAATGAAAGTAGTCAGAAATAATTTCATCATTGTAATTGATGAAA